TAAATTTTTTAAAATGAAATTTGCAAAATTGATTTACTTACATACAGCTGTAATGATACTGCTGCTACACCATCAAGTCCTCAGCCGAGGCCATCTATCATTGTGTGTTTCGACCCTTTAGGGCCTTAGCTCAGTACACTCTCAGGATTGGGGGTCCACAGTGATGATCAGTCACTGCGCGTTGTTGGTCAGTGTCCAGCTACATGTACTAGTATCTCTCTTTATCCACCCATCATGGTGATCTTTCTGCTGTTTGGGCCATCTTTTGGACTGCTATTCTCCTGCTTCTCCCTGTCACCCCTAGTGTAGAGAACATCACAAAAAATGACTGTGCCGGGGGCGAAGCCTCTACATCCAACCTGTACTGGGTAGTTCCAGGTTTGCCATCCATTCTCCCTGCATTCTGCCAGCAATGGTTTATAATAGTATTTTGCATTCTTCTTTTCATGGGCTTAACCGCATCTTTCTTCCCAGGGAACTGTCAGCTCTATGATAATGATCTTCTTTATACTTCATGACCACAGTACCATATCAGGCCTGAGATTAGTTGGAATTATCTCTGGGAATGTCAGTTTCTGACCTAGATCTATAGCCAGTGATCGTCTAATTGGTTAAGTATTCCGGAGGTCTTCGTCGCTGTTTCACCTTTTACTTTACGCAAATCTGTGTATGTTTTTTGGTGTCTATTTGCTTTTTTTCTTCCAATCTTTCTCTGTAGTATCTGCCATCTCTTTTTGAACCTGATTATGACGCCATGTGTATCTCCCCTGACTGTGATATTGCCGCCTGGCATGAGAATAGAATGTGCTGTAGGGTTCCTCTTTTTCCTCAAAGGGAGAACTCTGGCGTTATTATGAGATCTCATCTGATGAGATTGGCTGATGTTGGTAGCAGATCGTACACTGGGCGACTAAAGTTGAAATTGTAGCTGGAACTGAACTAAATAGATTTGGACTTAGATTATCCCCTTGTCTGACTTCCACTTTTGGTGTAAATGATTCAGTAAGTTTATTATGAAGTCTTACAGACACAAAATGTTCCATTCCGTTGAAATGGTGTATATTCGCTCGGCAAGCCTCGCGAATATATACACCATTTCAACTCGTTGGATAAAGCCAATATCAAATCACACAATATAGATATCCTCTATAAATATCTTAGATAGGCAAGAGGTTATTGTTATTCCCCTGTAATTTGATGGGTCAAATGGATCATCGTTTTTATGAATAAATAATATTAATAAAACCAGTTTTCCATTCTTTTGGATATTTCTCAGAGAACAAGATTAGATTAAATAACTGTAGTAAGTCTGGTACAATATGTTGTATCCTAGTTTTTATCATTTCATTCTTAATGCTATCTGGTAGTCCAACTGATTTATTGTTCTTGAGCCTTTTTACTGTATCAGTAATTTCCTTTAATTTAATTGTGTTGTCTAACTCAGAAAATGTTTGTGTTTTTTTCTGAAAAAAAAAACAAATAAGTTTTCAAAGTATTGATTTTGGTCACAGAATTTCTTATCAATGCTGAAAACTTTGGATAAATGATTTACCCACTGTTCACTGGATTTTTTTTTTCAGACTGATCATTTGATTGCTGCTCTTCTTTCAGATCTTTCAAAAGTTTCCAGTATGCTTTTGGATCATTATCATAAAGAGGGTTTAGTTTGTTAATGATGGATGTTCTAAAATTTTTATACTTTATTTACAGCGTCGACTTTGTAACTTAGGGAATTTGAAAAAGGACCCTCTTATTGTGGAATCATTTGGATACTTTTATACAAATTACTTTTCCTTACGAGTTCAGAATGCACCGAAGTGAGATCATTATCATACCATTTCTTATTCCTTATTCATATATGGTTGTGTAGATAAATAATCTTAAAAGACAATGGTTATAAACAGTTTGCCTCTTCATTTCCTCTGAAAGTGTAATTTACGAGTGCGTTTCTGAGGAGGGAGGTACTGAGTGTAATTCGAAGTTTGATACCTTGTATTATTTTTAAAATTATGCTATGGGTTAAAATTTTAATTTCGAAATAAGTGCTTGTAGTATAGATGCCGGGGAGAAAGCTGGCTATATGTGGGAAATCCAACTCTCTGACATAGAAATCTAGGGGTTACATTTATATGATTACTCCTCCATGGCGCCTGTGTTTGCTCGTTTCAGTTGTGTATTGTTCTGGTAGAGGACTAAAAGGACTATAGATTTTGATTACTGTTCAATCATTATCTTCAAATTTCATCTAACTCCTATCTTAAGTACACAACGAGTAAGGACCCTTTCAAACCAAGATGGGGGGTTGTCTAGTTTATTCTCTGTTGACCTTGTTTTACTGTCATTTTCTCATTGCTTTTTCTGCTTTTATGTACTAGTATACAGCTGTTATAAAATAAGTTTCCTTCTTCGCCTTTGCCGAATATTGCCTATAACCCTAGTTGTTCCTGATGTTCAGTATTTCCATGTCCTTTTCGGAGTATTTGCTAGCTGTCGCTACCAGGAAAATTCAATAATATTTGGATTTTATTGTCATTGATTATGAATTACACATTACTGAACAGCTGAATGGTTCGTACTTTTCCCTTTTTACGCAAGGGGGAAATTAAACTAATTAAAAACACATGTAACAGGGGGTTGGTGATGAATAAAACAAACACTCCTCTGTCAGGGTTCAGGTCTGATTTATTTGACACAGTGAGCAATACAAATGTTAATAGCCCTGAAATATAATAAAACAACAATATAATATCACATCAATTCAATCCTATTAATCATCTATACATGTAGCTCTCATAGTTAACATATCCATAATGATATATATATATAGATGATAGGTATAATGTACATTTACTCTCAATTAAGGGAGATAACTCTTATAGTGAATATATAGACATTACATATCTTCTCCCATATAAAGGCATAAAAAATAATACTAATTAAAACAAATAATTCCTCACCATTCTGTGGGAAAAGGCTTCCACAATGATATGGTGGTTACAGCTTTAATTAATATGTATATGGACTCTGTAATTTAATACAGTATACATTAAAATATATATTCCTTTAAAATAAAATCATCTGTTCACTTTGAACAAAGTAACCAAATATCTGAGTCATAAAAATATATGGTGTAACTTGAATATAACAATTTACACTTATAATATAATACATTACTGATCTTTACAATCAATAATTCAATCATAAAAATAACATCTTTCTCTCATGGCCATACATGGGGGGGGGGGGAGTGGCCAACTTTTTTTTCAAGACCAACTATCTTTCAATTCAAACTTTTTGGGGTAAATTTTCTTTGTAACACTACACTGTGCTGAAATGTGGGGGGCCAACCATAAAAATCCTTTCAGTAAACATTTTCTATAGTAAAGGTAATGTCAATTAGTAATAAGGAAAGTTAGTACTTACCAGAAAATGGAAATTGGCCAGGCATAAAATACAGTCTTGGTCATTTCTCAATAAGACAAAGAATGAATATTTTGGCGGTAAAACCAATGACCATAAGAATAAAACCAATGAAATCCAACTTCACAACCAAACTACCAATAAGAATCAATAACACTCCAAAACCTTTGAACTGCCCAACGGTAACTAATTATCTATATACAGGTGTACAGGTAAAGGGCTAAGGATATAAAGGAGCGGATCAAGCTTTTTATACTTTTGTATATTATGGTAGTTTAATTTATTTACATTAAATTTAAAACACTTATTTATTATGTACGCATATAATACACACTATTACAACCTCCCCCTGGTTGCAGAATGACGTCCGCGTCATTCAACGGTGAGGTTTACGGCATAAAAAGTACGGATATCTACAATGATACTAAAATACATACCTGGGTATTACTGAGATGATGACACAATATTTAAAAGAGCTGTCTGGCACAAATTAGAGTCTACATTCTGAAAAAGACCATCTTTCATCATCTCTTTCACAAAGTTGGCTCTACGTAACCAATCTGGTTCTGCTTTACCTTGCGTCATCATCACGTAATCTTTCGTCCAATCTGGGACCTTTCTTTGTCTTGTCGACTTCCGTGGAGCAGGAACTGGGGTGTCTTGCAAGGGGTCATCTTCATCCATGGAAGGCTCATCATCTTGCTCAACAACTTCGTCTTCTTCTACAATCTGAACTTCTTCAACTTGATCATCATCACCTTCAGGCTGATTGGCAGGCTCCTGCTGCTGAAGAGCGTCCTCTTCTGAATCAGGTGCTGAAGCTTCTCCGGCCGAAGAAAGGTCGTCACCCTCTTGACTGGAGGTCTCTGGTGGTGAATTCTTGGACACTATAGGGTTACCTATAAATGAAAATTCACTCTCAGAATCTGATATACAAAAAGAATCTTTTGTAATTACTATCTTCGGATTCATCTCTTCTCTCTGCCTTCCTACTTTGTCTAGGTTTGGGTACTGGAGGTGAAGAGGATGCAAACTTGGATCCTGTTGGCAATAATAGGTTACGGTGCAGAACTCTACATCGTCCTTCGCCATCCTCTCGTCTCACCTTGAAAACAGGAATGTTCTTGTTCGGTTGGGATAAGATTTCGTAAGGCACATCTTCCCACTTGTCCGATATTTTGTGCTTACCATCGTATGCCACAATCTTGACAAGCACTCTATCAGTTAACTAATTGATATAAAGTAGACATTGTTCCACAAGCCCCTTAAGTATTAAAAAAAAAACATTCAAATTAAACCATATGCTTGATAATCGTATATATGATTTATGTCTTAAGGATCCTGATTTTGAATGATTGAATGAATGAATGAATAAATATTAAATAAATAAATAAATAAATAAAATAAGTAAATAAATAAATAAATTGAAATGAAATGAAATAAATAAAATGAACGAAATAAAAAAAAAACCAAACGAGTTGTAGTGAATAAAGATCGGGATCAAAAGTCATAATATTATTTATGAAGTCGCCCCCAGACGATTGTGTCTGTGACAGAAGTCTAAGAAGAACCATATAACGATGACTATCGAAGAACAGACAATCCATCATGATAAAATTGAAATGAATTAATTTTTGGAACAATCATGAGTGGACGAGTTGGCGATCTCAGTAAAGAGCAGGAAGATTGTTTGAAAAAGGTAAATGGAGGATTAATAATATTGGGTACCAATGGCAATGCAGCCCCTATTCAGTCCTTTATTCAGCTATTGATCAATCAAATTTAGAATGCAGTGCTTCCTCACTTAGCCACTGTATATACTTTTTATAACACGATCGAGTTAAAATAAACAGTAAAAAATACAAATTCTATAATGTTTTTATCAAATTCCTTAAATTCTAATGTTTAAAGACAGTCAAGAGGACAGTTTTCTAACTCAAGTTTTTCATGTACATGTTCATGATGTTGCTTCATTTATTAAATTTGATTAAGGATTGGTGCTATCTTCAAAAATTTAAATTGATAGTTCACAGTACGTACAGCATTTAGTGCTAGCACAGATAATCATTCTAGTTTTATTTTAGATCCAACCAGTCTAGTGGAACCCTCAAACGGGGGTGAACAGAAGTAGGAAAACCGTACCCTCAAACGGGGGTACGCGCATGCGCAGACACTTAAAAAGGTACCGTTTTCAAGGAAAAACGTGTGGTCCACAAAATATGCTCGTGCAAAGTGATGGATTATTTCGTAGCTCTGTATGTACTCAAATTTGATAGATTAAAGATGTTTATAAAGAGATTGTATTGCGAAAAAGTATATGTTTATTGCAAAAATCGAGACTTTTTCTCTCCCAAAGTTAGCGTATTCTGTGCCCGTCCGAATTTCCTCTGTCCTGTAAACAAACTTTTGTGCTTCAGAAATGAGGTAAATAAAAACGAAAAAAAAATTATTTTTATTTTTTAATTGAAAACAAAGGTGTAGACAATTCATTTTGTATGTTTGTGATTTTTTAAAAAATATTTATTTTTTAAATAAGAAGAGTTATCGTTGTGTAATTCCACTTTCGCTTTAGCGTGTTGCATTAAGGGAAGGAAAACCCTCGTTTGAGGGTATACCCCCGTTTGAGGGTTTGACTAGACTGCCAACTTAGACACACAACATTTGCTAAGTGGCATCTATACTCTTGTGTACATGACGTATGTTTGTTGCAGTGCAGACTGAATTAAGTCTGAACAGTGGTAATTTTAATCAAGATTTAGAACATTATAATCTATTTTAAATATTTTGTCTGTTATATATATCCATTAAATGAAGGTGAGTTTATATTTTTCTTGTTACCACGATATATTCTTTGCAGCGAGGATTATGGGACCACAGGTAACTGCAGGAATCATTTCATGAACATATGTTCCAAGGGCAGATTTTTCTTGATCAAGGCGTTGCTTTAAGAGCTGGCAGTGACACAGTGTCACACAATCACTATCAGTACAGCTACGTACTCATTTCTGATACAAGAAAAGTTACATTTTCATTACATTTTAAAGTATACATTACTGCTGCATTGCCCTTTTTGTTAGCAACTGGTTTTTGTTTGTATATGCCTATATGGCTTATTGCCATTCAGTTCTTTAATTCTGACGTGTTGCTATTTCTCCCTCAGTTCAGTTCTTTATTCCGTGGGACGTACATCCCATAAGCATCATAAGTACAACATTGTATTTATCAATTACATACATAGTACAATAACATGTTATAAACTTACCAACAAGTAATACATGTACATACATTTTATTATATAGCTAATTGATTTAAACATTCCATTCGTAATTTATTAGCATAATATATATATTTCCCTAACTGATTTACATCTTTGGTATTTGTACTACAGAATAATTGTATTAACTTGAAGACACTTGGTCTTCGGGAGTAGTAATGTTTGATGAACTTGTTTCTTAAATCGTGAAAAACTGGACAAATGAATAAAAAATGAAATTCGTCTTCAATATCATTTAAATTACACAGAACACATTTCCTATCACTCCTTATTAAGTTCTCGTATCTTCCAGTTTCAATCTTTAAATTATGTGCTGAAAGTCTGAGACATGAAATTGCTTTTCTATATTTTACATGGATGGGTTTCTTTAAATAACCTTGTAAACAAAAATAATCAACTAAATGCTTATATAACATACATTTTGGTGACTTACATATATCAGATATAGCCTTCTGTTTAAAAACGTCACACATTCTATTGTATGTTATGTCTAATAAAATGCTATCTTTTTGATTACTATGAAACAAGTCAGCTAAACCTAGAGTGTACATTTCATTTTTTATACTCATAACCCAGGGATCTTTATTCTCTACCATATCTTGATAACATGCACTCAAAATACAATTATTACTTTTTCTTAATTTTAACCAATATTTTAATATTCTGCGCTTTCTGTATATATCTAGTGGTATTCTACCTAACTCATAATAAACAGCACTATTACAGGTATTTTTTCTTACACCAAGTATTCTTTTACAAAAATTAATATGTACTCTTTCAACATCTGGACCTTTGTGAAAACCCCAAATTTCAGCTCCATAGCATAACACACTTTTAACATAAGTATCAAAAACATTAATTTGAGTCTCAACATTGAAATTTAAATCTTTCATCTTACTATAAATACTAAACAATGCCTTGTTACCTTGTGTTGCACAGTGCTTCTGTGTAGATAAGAATTTCCCATTATAGTTAAATAATAATCCTAAATAATTAAATTGATTTACAACTTCCACATTTTTACCATTATATGTCCATTTTTCTTCATCTCTTACATACTTTCCATTTCTAAAAACTACAATTTTCGTTTTTTGTACATTTACAGTTAAATTCCATTCTTTTGTATAGCTATACAGAGTGTTTAACATTTCTTGTAAACTTTCAACTGATTCCGCTATTAAAACTGTATCATCTGCGTACATTATTAGAAACAAATTAATCATTTGAAGTTCAACTGAAGCACAGTTATTTTCAATAAAATGTCGTTCAAAATCATTTAGATACATGGAAAATAGTACAGGCGATAATATTTCTCCCTGCAGAACACCCGCAGATATACGAAATGTATCAGTCAATGTACCTTGGTGTTTTATACAGGCTCTAACATTCTTATATAACGACTTAATAATACATAACATTTTTCCTTGTATACCCTCTGTTTGTATCTTGTACCATAACTTAGATCTGTCAATTAAATCAAAAGCTTTTGAATAATCTACAAAGCAACAATATAATCTCTTTTTGTTTCTCAATGTCTTGTTAATTAAACTTTGTAAAATAAAAATAGCGTCAATTGTACTTGCACCTGGCTTAAAACCAAACTGAGCGTCTGTAATAATATTATATTTTTGGTCCCATTCTAACAATCTATTATTCAAAATACACGTAAATAGTTTCGCTAGACAACTAACCAAAGTTATGCCTCTGTAATTATTTGGGTCATGTAATTCGCCCTTTTTGAAAATTGGTACAATACATCCCTTTGACCAGCTATTTGGATACATACCAGAATCAAAAATATTGTTAAATAATTTACATAGAATAGGAATCATAACTTCTTTACATTTAATAAAAAATTCATTAATTACACCATCATCTGCGTTACTCTTGTTACATTTGAGTTTCAAAATTGCTTTCTCGACTTCTAATTCCGATATACACGTATCTAGTTCCTCATAACACGAAGCTGAGTGGTGTTCAACACTGTCGTCAGCAACGTTAGATTCGTTCTTGTTCTCAAAAACACTCTTAAAATGTTCAAAAAATTGATCTGCTGTTATATCATTATGTAGTTTTTTCTTATTCTTAAATAACTTAAAAAATTGTCTTGGGTTATGCTTTCTTAGATATTCCATGTTATTTCCCTGGTATCTTTCATAGATGTGCTTATATTTCTTTGCAGTTTTTTTAAAATCACGTCTCTTATCACAAAGTGAGTTTCTGTTCACAGAACATTTATTAGTATTAAATATGTGTAGACTTTCTTTATAGTCTTTATATTTAGACTTACAGATGTCATTAAACCAGGGTTTATCATTACTTATTTTCCGATCTGTTTGTACAAGACCTCCAGTGACTTTACAAAAAGGTGTCATGATATCACACAATGTCTTACTGAAATTCTCCACAGAAATATCTATCTCCTCTTGTGTATTGAATGATTTATCGACATATGAAAGAAAAACATCCTGAATTTCTCTTATTGTACTAATAGCATCAAGATCAGAACCTTCTTTCCATTTGACTGATTTACATAAAATCCTAGATTCATATTCATTGCCTATTTTGGTATTTTCAATATACTCGACACTTGTATTTAAGAAATTAGTTTTTATGACAAAAGTAAGAGGTGCATGGTCAGAAAAAATATTAAATTTCCCCGTTTGGAAATTAAAAACAGTATCTAATATATTCATGTCCGTCAATAAATAATCTATAGTGCTTGTACCGTTTGCATTAAAAAAAGTAATATTGCCATTACAATCATTTTCCTTCCTACCATTAGCAATGCGTAATCCTGTAGTTTGACACAAATTTATCAATTTTTTACCAAAATTATTAATTCCTTTATCCATACTAAATCTACCAGTTTCGTTTGCATGCGTAGTGTCGTAGTTTACCAAAAACTGTATGTTATTCGCTAACGATTCTTCCAGTACATCGTTAAGAATAAAATCTTCTAGATTTCCACATCTAGCATTAAAATCGCCTGTGACATATACGCAACCTTTATTATAAAAATCAGAATAAGATTCTTCAAGATATTGAAAAAAATCAACATTTTCTTTTTTATAGAATACACTGTTTTCTGGCGGTATGTAACATGCAGCAATAAAGACTGGTTTACAATGCACGTTCAACTTATTTTCAACTTGTAGCCACACCACAGAGTTACAAAATTGATCAACTACCGATATTTTTATATCCAAAATGCTTTTAACAAAAATTACAACACCACCTCCTTTTCCACTTGTTCTTGGAAAAGTGTAACTATCATAACATTGTAATTCCAAATGATCATTATTTGTTATCCAACATTCTAACAAAATGATTATATCATACGCTTTTATAATATCAACAAATTCAAGATCGTCCAACTTAGTTTTTAAACCTTTGTTAACATTCCAGGATATAACAGATAAGTTGGAGTTTCTACTCCCGGACCTGTCCTAGTAACCAGGATGCCCACCAGCTGCATTCGCGCTCGATACCACAGAACTGTACGCTCTACCTTGATCCGAATACTGAGTATGACTACCGCTGTAAGGCTGCTGTCCGCCGTCATAATGACTTGTGCTTTGCGTGTTATGTACCTCTCCATTATATAGATGCTGATGCATATCTCTTTGGGGCTGAGAATATCTCTCCATCCGTGCTTCATAAGATCGCCCTTGTACATTCATATATGGTGGATTTGTTTCCTTCGGTCGCGCATAACTATCTAATGCTGTTGAATGTGTGTCCATCGGGCGCGTGTGCCTATCAGAAGCTGCCGCGCGTGTTTCCATAGGATGATTATGTCTGTCCGTACCTTGTAAGTGTGTTTCCATGGGTCGCATATTTGTATCCGTTGAACGCGAGTGTCTGTCCAGTGGCTGAACGTTTGTGTCAGTAGGTCGTACGACTGCGTTTCTTTGTTGTAGTTGCGTAGACTGCCCTCCCTTTAGCTGTGCTTGCCCAAAGTTGACATTATTGTCGGTTCTGTATGGTTTACCATTTACATATAGCCGATCTTTAACAAGCTTTGTTCTATGTCCTTGGTTTCGTAGTTGCTTCATGATTGGGTAAATTTGTTTCCTACGTTCCTCAATAGCGCTGGGGAATTGTTCATAGATACCATATCCCGATCCTTTTAATCTGTACGCCCTTTCCAAAACACTGACTCGTTCACTTTCGTATAGAAATTTTGCCACAATTGGTCTGTTTTTATTCTGTTGAAACCTCCCGAAACGGTGAACATTACCAAATTCCAGCCTCCAGTCAATCCCTAATTCATAATAGATGAATTCTCGTAGTTTAGTCTCGGTATCTTCATCTTTCGATTCTCCAGCTAAACCAGTGAACACTAAATTGTATTTCATAGAACGCCACTGAAGGTCCACCACTGTGTCTTTAAGCTGTCCTATATCTTCTTTTTCAGTTTGTAATTGTTTCACGTCTCTTCTTACTTCATCAAATAGTTCTTTTTGGATTTTTTCAGCCTGTAACATATTGTTCTTCATTTCCCGTAGTACCTTCTGAAAATCGTCTACTTTATTGGATACGAAACTAGCACATCTTTCTACTTCCGTAGTTTTTTCTTCTACATTTAACAATTTTTTGTCTGCTACACTAGCCCTATTTTCAATAGTTTCCACCTTCGTTTCAACCTGTGATAGTCTTGAATCTAGAGAAAATAGCGTTTGTTCGATTGAATCAAGCTTAGTCAACTTTTTGATCACAGTGTCTAGTTTTCTATTAGTATCTCTGATTTGCTTCGCTATTTTGTCATTTGATTCCCTAAAAACGTGATCAAAATTTCCGGCAGGGGTGGATGTGGCTGGGCCTGGGGGTGATATTTTAGCACTGTCTCCATATAGGACTCTTTCGGCCTGCCCAATAACTTCACTCAAAGGTAATGAGTCACAATCTGATTGATCTAATTGTTCATTATCTGTTGTTATGCTCGTATCTTCACTATTTTTCTTTTTTCGTTTTTTTGATTGTTTTTCTTTGCCTTTTCCTTTCCCACCCATTTTCAAAATGATTTCCTAATGTCCCTTTAATCGCCTCTATGTATCAACCTTGGTGAGTTTTTAATCACAATATACGTGCTCGCTCAGGTATTCACTCAGGCGGAACAGTTAAACAGGTTAAACACATACATGAAATGTCTCAAAACAGCAAGATATTATCAATTCCTTCAAAAAATAAATCGTCTAGGTGTGAAATGCACGTGTACAAACCTATATACTGTTTCAATCCAAACAGCACCCTAATACTTGCTGAAAAACGAAAATTACTGCAAGCCACACCTGTTCACATCTGTCCATAGACTTGACCTTCACCCTCCTATCCTTGACCTTCACCCTCCTACCTGAGTAAAACTCATATTCACACCATTGCTGGCAGTTTCAAATACTGATATGTAGCAGTAATCAGTTGTTATCACCAAGTTTTATTGATAAAATGTAGCTGTAATGATCTCCCAACATTTTGATGAAATGTGGTAATGAGTTGAATTTTTGCATGTAACAGTAATGATGACCTAGCTCCCCTTGAGATTAAGAAAAGCTTACATGTATATCTTTTTCAGTTTAAAGAAAGAGTACAGGATGTTTTAAAACCACCACATGATGATCATTATCTTTTAAGATGGTTAAGAGGTAAGTTGATTATAAAAAGAGGACCAGGTATTTTAATGTATTTTAGTAATTAATTGTTTTAAATTGTTACAATAGTTTCCCACTATAGAAAAATGGTTGGTGAAGGCAGTACGTTGGAAACAATCATTAGAATATTTTAAGATGAATAGTTGCTGATTTAAAAAGATTTTTTTTTTACTTAACTGGTTCATTTTTTACATTTTCAAAGGATGTAACTTTATTTTTCTTGCAAATGGCTTACACACTTTCCAACTAAGCAATATGTTTTGAACTTGGTGAATAGATTTATAAGGATATCTGGATTTTTGTATTAATATGATTTATTTTATTTAATGTAAAGTAAATGAACCTTTAATTATAATTCAAACAACTGTATAATTGATTGTATGCTATGAATTCAATCTGTAATCAATAGTGAGTTTATTCCAATTTTGCAAAATTCTAAACTAATCATTATTTAATTATTATACTGGTGTTCGAACAGGGTACATGTAACATTGAAAAATTTCACCCAAAGAAAACCATCATCAACTGAGGCAAAGCTGAGGTTGATAATAGTTTGTTTGAAGAGTTAAAAGTTTTAATGTTACATTGAACTACATGCTATTTTTATTACACTGAATGTTTAAACACTCATATACAAATAAAGGTGAAATGTTTGCACATAGATTATGCACATGCAGTTAATTTTTTGGGGTATGTCACCATTTTGAGTTGCATGTTTACAATTACATGGAAGAAATTAAATTTCTTTTTCAGCAAGAAATTTCGATTTGAAAAAATCAGAGACCATGTTGAGAAATGTAAGTGCTATAGATCTATTACTTAAAGAATTTCTACATGCAGCCTAACTACTTAAAAGGATTTGATTTCAAAAAAATATTTTTTTTCTCCTTTCTAGATCTATACTTTAGCAAAATCCATGTACTAAATGCTCAAAATATACCAAATATGAAAAAATGTAGACAGATTGTAACAGGACAATATAGAATTCAAAGATTTTGACCAGAATAATCAGTATCTGGTTTTCTGATTTTGTTTGTTTTTTCTGATATTGGGTGTCAAAAACCAAGGCGCACGCTGACGCTAAACATAGAAAAAAACTTGGAATGGCCTAATAAGAACTATGTTGAATGAATTGTAAAGTAATTTATATTTTATTGTTAAAATATCATTTTGTATTACTGCTTTTCCATTCAGCAGTAATAAAAGTATTATCCAACATTTTTGCTAATATGATACTTCAAAGATTTTGTAAAGTTAGTACAGATCTGTAGATTCCATTGGCTTTGCTTCTAAACCAAATTATTTTCCATGATTCTTCAGCATGTTGCTTGGAGGGCTCAAGAAAATGTAGAAAACATTCAAGACTGGGAATGTCCAGAGGTGATCCAGAAGTACTTTACTGGGGGTCTGTTTGGAAAGGATGTGGATGGATGTCCAGTCTGGATTGACCCATTTGGACAGATAGATTTAAAAGGTATATTTATATGTATGCATGCAGACCAAATTTGTGGGGGAAATAATCATATATAAATGTAAACTAGCTGACATGTAGAAATTTTTAGGTGATTACAGGAACTTTATGCATTATCAACACATTATTTTGAGTATAGTATTTAAAAATGTTGATAAACAAATTAAAAAGAATTGACATTAGAACAAAAAAAATTTAATGTGAATCATTCAATAACATTCAAACACAGAGTCACAGATATGTGTGTTTTTTGCTGCAACTGTAAGCAGTACCTGTAGTCATAAGTTATTAGCTCACCTGAGCCAATTAAAGGCTCAATTGAGCTTTTCTGATCTAAGGGTGTCTGGCTACCATCTGTCATTTGGCTTCTTTCTACTGTTGGGTGTAATCTGTAAACTTGTTCACATTTTAGACTTCTCAAAACCCACTTGACCAATTTCAACCAAACTTTCAGTTTCTCAAAGCATCCTTAGGTGGAGGGGATTGGAGTTTGTTCATAGAAAGTGCCTTGTCAATTCATAAGGGAAGGTGAAGAATTCCTAAAAGTTTAATAGCATTATTTAAAATTTTTCTTTTCAAGAACCACGTGGCCAGAAAACATAACATTTATGTGAAAGTTTTTTTTACATACTTTATATAAATTTGTTCATACCATGACTCCCAGGGCAGGGAGAGGGACAGTATGAGGATGGCATGCTTGCATTAACTTTAGTTCTGTTTCCTACTGAATGAAGTATCATTGTTAGTTAAAATAAAGAGACATTTTAGTGTTTGCAACATACCGGTAAGTGAAAATTTGATCAGGTTAGTTATCTGTAAATTAGCAATAGCTTGATTGATCTAAATCTTAATTTTTAGTCTGAAGGCTTTCTGATTAAAATATATCCATTGTCTGTCATTGTTGTAATCGTCATTTTTTAAACTTTTCACATTTGCATCTTCCTCCCAACCAATAGTCAGTTTCAACCAAGCTATTAATTAGCTTGACACAAAATATCCTTTGTTGAAGGGGATTCAATTTGTTCAAATAAAGAGGGCATGTGAACATTGGCTGGGTTCATTAAAAAATCTTTGACTCCAAAAAAAAAAAAAAAAAATCAGGTCAGAAAAAAATTCAGCTTACTTAAAGAATTCATAAATCATGATATCCTCTCTGGAGAGGGCTTATATAGCCTATATGCTGCCTGCTGCCCAGTCCATTGATGCTAACGCTTCAGTACATAATAAAATAAGATCAAATCAAAGATTTAAAATAGTGTTTAATTCAAATTTAGTCACATTTGGACCCTTGGTTGTAATATGGGGCTTTAAATGGGCAATCAGAGTTTTACAAAGTGTACATGGTCTCGGGAATAAATAGGAAAATATTCACAATTCGCAAAGCAATATTTTCATGGAAATGGGCCTTTGGAAGTAAGCCACAAAATAATGTTAGATAGGAATACATAATGGGATAGAAAATCATTTTTTTAAGCTTCTCAAGACCAGAAAAGTCTTGATTAGTAATATTTATTTGGAAGATAGAGAAGATCAAGTTAAAACAAATCATCACCCTTTGGAGTAGCGACGGGCAATAATGGACAACTATTTTTTTTACATTTGAGAATATAGGGAAATATATCTTTTGATTAAAAAGAGAAGGGCCTTGGTGATGTATGTGAGCATTATGGTTCTTTACCTCTTTTTTTTTATTTCCTGACTAAAAAAATAATCAGTATCAATATGAAAACACTTTTACATTTTTTTCTTTTAGTTTTCAGTATCTCAAATACACGTCAGTTTAGTCTATTGGGCTATATCTATATAAACATGCAGATTATAAGTTTATGGTTTTCTGCGAGACATATATTCTAACAATGTTCATACTGCTTTTCTTACTTGATTAACTGCCAATCAACTCATGTACTACCTACAGTACATTACTTGTTCACTTGATTGCACACAGTAATGAGGAAGTTTCTTTGGCTGCATCCTAAAAGATTAATTTAATTCTTACTAATGAGACAGCTGCTTTCAGGATGAATGAACCTTGAACAAAAATAATAAGAGCTTAATGAAGAAGAGTCAATCTCGTAATTTTGTTCAATATTTTTCAGAATATTAAGTTTATTAAAGTCAAGAAACATACGTCTCATAGCCAATATATTTACAATGATACATTTTGATACATACAATAATGAAATTAACATCCAACATGTACAATACATAATATTCAATGTCAATAATCATTTATGAATTAGTGAAAGACATTGTTTCACTCGCTAATTACAAAATTTTCCTAGATATAATTCTTTTACATTCTGTGTACTAGCTAGTATCTGTATTGTAAACTTTAAGTTAGATCTTTCATCATGTTCATATTGCTTCCAGACATTGATCAGCTACTCATGCAACATTTATAAATCTTAGCAAAGTATACATCTCTAAGTTGAACAATGAAAGGGATCACATTTCAGTTTTTTCAGCTTGCTTCATGATCTCTTTGATTTCATTTTCTCAATATAAATAGGAATGTTAAAGTCAGCCAAAAAAGCTGACATTATCAGGGCCAAAGTTCAGCTCCTTGAAAAGCTTCACAACAAGACATTTCCAGAATTCAGTGCAGAGGTAAATTCCTACACTGTTTTTCACTTGAAACAACAATTGGTTATGGAGTACATGTACCATATTGTCACTATTGCACACAGTAAAATTGGTGTATAATTTTTTTTTCAGTCATTCATTAATCAATGATTTACTCTAAAACTTGTATTTGTTAAGAACAAAATAGTCATTTTGTTCGCCATAGTTTATGTAGTGTGAAAAGGATTTTTTAAAAAGAAAACTTTAACTTTGCAATATTTACAGAGAGGGAAGAGAATAGATTCTCTAGTTATCCTATATGACCTTGCCAAGCTTGGAATGAAACATCTGTACAAACCAGGTAATGCAACAAATATTGTTTACTCTTAATTATTAAATTTAATCATATACATGTATGTAATAGTGTCAAGAAATAGACTCTTAAACACTAGCTCACCTGAGCAAAAGGCTCAAACGAGGTTCTTTGATCAAACAGGTGTCCCATGGTTCACAGTATATCTGTCCATGTAGCTGTAAACTTTTCTCTTTTTACTTATTTTCCAGACCTACTGTCCAATTTTACCCAATTTGGTACAAAGCATCCTTGGGTAAAGGGAAGTCAGCGTTGTTCAAATTAAGAAACACACTCACATTTATTTATTTTTAAAAGCACAGGAGAAAATAATAAAACTTATATGAAAGCTTCTACTTAGTTGTCTTAAAAAATAAAGACCCACTGGACCAGGAGAAATAAAAGTCTTTTATAAAATTATTCTCTTAAGAATCATTGGAACAGAAATGATGAAACTTATGTGAAAAACATCCAGACATAGTGAAGGTTCTGAATTATTGATAACATCCCCCCTCCCTTAAGAGTCAAGGAGAGAGGCATCTACTGTATGAGATGTTCATTCATTTACCTGTTGTTATTGTAGTGCTTGAAAGCAATCCTGATCAATATGTCAGGATGGCATGTAAAAAATAGTCCTTAGTAGTAAAGATCAAACAGACTTCATGATTTGTTTTCCTTTCATGAATGTCTGTAGGGAATGCCCTGCTAATCAGTTGTTTTCTAATATCTGATTTTCAACATTAAACATGTTAGACTGCCTGGATTTTGTACACAAAATAAGTTTACACACTTTATATTTTATTGATTCAAAATTCAATATTTTTTCAGAAATACTTTAATTATTAAACATTAGTTACAATAAAGAACTTTTCAATTGTATTGGAATGTGGGCGTCCATTCTAAATAATACACTGTATTTCATTTTCTTGAAGTGTAAGGCCTTGAATCATTATTTTATAAAGAATACATTGTTAGTAATAATTATGTTGATCCATTTTGTTTGTTTCAGGTGTCGATGCATATTGTGAAATGTTAACAATGTTTGAAGATCATTACCCTGAAACTTTGAAATATGCCATAGTCATAAATGGTAAGAAACAATTGAATGGCATTGATAAGAATTAAATTTTGAAATTATTTATACATGTATATATATAACTGGTCCATCAGGACTGGTTGAACAACCTTATACCAGTATTGAATATTGAAAGAAGAACTTGGATATGGATTTCAAGTAAATTAAAAAAACAAAACAGACAGAGGCATATTTTGATTTTAAATTGAAAGTCATTCTGGTTAATATTTTGAAGTAGAAAACATGCTAGAGTTTGTTTGGAGATTATTGTAATTTTTTAAATTACAATAATTACAATTTACAATTTTTAAATTTTAAAAAAAATTACAATTTTTTAAATTTTGTGGTTCTGAAGGATTACACCTTTGTTGATGGAATTCTGAATTGCAATGACAATTTTAAGATTTAACATTAACATGCAAGAAAAATGTGATACGAGAGTAGGTGTCAGCTTGTCAGATTCAAGTTTGGAACATGTTTTTCAATAAGAAATCTATTAGTGTATTACATGCATAAGTGATACCAAATTATTTTGTATTGTAGATTTGTTAAAATACATCAATTCAGTATTAAATATTACTGATGAATTTAAATCTTGTGTCCTTTCAGCCCCAAGATTTTTTCCTATAGCCTACAATATTGTGAAACCATTTCTATCCGAGGCAACGGCTAAGAAGACAATTATCTTAGGAAGTAAGAATTTTGTTACTTCATAATTTTTAAAGTAAAATTATGTGAAAAAAATGAAGACATATATCACTTTCCACAGAAACATGAAATAATTTCTCTATGTGACCTTGAATTTCTCTTACATCATTTTTAACACCAACTCAAAATTACAAATACATGTATAGTAGATCAATTATTATCTACATGTTCAGAAGGTGTGATATTTTTAATGACATATGCCTTACACAAGCTGAGATTAAAATTTGTATCTGCATAAATTGAAAAGTTTAAAATTAACTTTTCTTGAAGAAAAATGGGGTTCATAAACTTTCTAAAAGGGACCAACTTAGTAGCAAACATACAAAGCCATTTGATTTGCAAATCCCAATTCATAGATGTATGTACTTTCACAGTTTTGATTCCAAGGTATTCGTACTTTAAAAGGAATATTACTTTAAATCCTGAAAGGACTGATGTTTTAATTTACAGCTAATTATCGTGACACTTTATATCGGTACATCTCTCCAGAAGAGTTACCAGTTTGTTATGGAGGTAAACACACAGATCCAGATGGGGACCCTACATGTAAATCACAGGTATATAGGAAAATGGATGTAACAAAAACAAACTGTTCCTCATATATTTTTGAATTTTTCATATTAAATATTTATATAGAGAATAATAATACCCTTTTCCATATCAAATCCTGTATCAGCGGGAGACACCGATATCAGCCAGAGGGCCGAAGGCCCAAGGGCTGATATTGGTCGAGGGCAGGTACAGGATGTGATGTGGAAAAGGGTATGTTTCATTATGTTTATTACATACTTAGTAATAAAATACAGTACACATTAAGCAAAGAAGAAAATAAGTAATCATTCACATGCAGATTTTTTACATGTACACGGTCTATTGTCTCATTCGGTTTGGGTTTGTTTCTACATGTACTTCTATTTCAAATGTGCCCGATCCGCAATTTGAAAAAATTAATCTATTATTTGTCAGTTAGATTATCTTTACATTCAAAAAGTTAAAATTAAGAGAGTATGTAACCCCCAAAATATGTGTATGGTCACGAGTACTGTTTTTTGAGGTTTAATTTTCTAGGTGTGATATTGATCCGTATCAGCCCTGCAAATCCATATCAGCCCTGCAGGGCTGATACGGCTTTTGTGACGTCAGGCATATCGCATATGCAAAAATCCTGTATTTATTACTACGTATGTAATAAATATTATTATGAAGCAAACTTTGAAGAAAAACAAACTTTTATTGCCATTGAAATCAAATGTAGGATTTGAAGAATACAGCCTACTCCGGATATATTGAATTTCAGGGGACCATGCAAATCATTTCAATATATCCGTAATTCAATATAAGCGAAATCGTGACACTGCCATTTTGTAAGTTCAATCCCGATATAAAATAAAGAAGAACAAACCCGAACAAATTAATTCGGTTATCGTTTATCTTTAACAGTAAACAGATTTTACATAGAATATAAGTCCTTGAAAGTTTAAATGAAATTATTTCTTTCTGTTGCGTTCAAAAGAAAAGACAATCTTCAACCTCATTATAATTCCACGATCGCTTTTATTTACGTTTTGAAGAAAAATCACCGGATTCAACGGTTGAGTACTGTCGAACGCTGCTTGTATTTCATCGTAAGTGTACTCAGGTTAATCCCTCAGCTATTTGGAATTTAGACTTATCAATAGCCATAATGTATCTAATTTCAAAGTTAAGGTTTTTTCTTCTAGATCCATGAGGGTTCCTATATTACATTTAGCCTCAATATCTCAATATTATGTAAGTGGAAATGAAGAATTTAACAGTGAATAATTTTATTTCGCAAGAGCATTCAGTATAAAAACACATAAGGTGAAAATTTAATTATTCACATCTTTTATATCAACTGGTCAGTCAGGCTTAATTTCTGTCGCTAACCGTAACGACAGCCGCCAGGGAGTACTTCAATATAACCGTTATGAAAACAACTCATTATCACCTGTGGGGACCGATCAGTGACATCAATATAAGCGAAATTTCAATGTAGCCGATTTCAATATAGCCGTTATTTTAATGCAATGAATGTAAGAAGCAAAAAATGGGGATTTGTTTTCATTTCAAAATAAGCGGAATTTCAAAATAAGCGAGTTCAATATAAGTGGAGTAAGCTGTAGTTATTTATAAAAAAAACAAAACAAATAATACTGTATTCCAACTTTAATTCAAGTGGGAGAAACTTAAGCGAAGTTTGCGAGAGCATCGTCATTGCAAATATTTCTCAGAGTTAATTGTTAATTAAGGTATTAAATATTTTATCATGATAGCTATTTGATAATTGTTTAAGTAAGTTTAAATAAAATTTGACAGAGTTTCAGGATGAAAATTACATGACGTGATTTATGTGTATTGAAATCCATCAACTATGAATGAGACTATTAACTTGTGTTAATTATCAAAGTGTTATAGAAAAAAATGCTTACAGGTCAGATTTCACCAGTATGAATGTTAAAGGGCTAAAAAAAAAAAAAAAACAGTTCAATTTCATGCTCAACTTAAAACTACAGAATGATGAACTTCTGAACCCTGATATTTCAATACCATGGATATGTCAAAGTGATTTGAAAGCCCCAAACACTTCACCATTCATTAAATATATTTTGCCCTTGATATCTTGAAGTTTCTTCTTGGTCTTATGGAGTTTGGGATGACAAGATTTGACTGTAATTATTTCTCAGATTGGACAAGGAGGTGATGTACCAAAGTCGTACCAGAGGCAGCAGATGCTTTCAGCAGAGATAGATAATGCAGTGTGTGTGACTGTGGGACGAGGCTCCTCCTTCCAAGTGGAATGTGAAGTTCCTGTCAAAAACAGTGCAATAAGGTTAGTATGGACAATCAAGGCAAAAATGGCAGAATAAATATATACATGTAATGATGTATTAGCATGCAGGTTCAAAACTTTATTGATGGTTATATTTTTTAAAGTTGTATATCCTTACCTTTTTTATTGGCATAAAAAAGTACAATCTACTGTATTTTTCTAATAGGCCCAATTACTAGTAAATTAGTTGAATTTAAATGAAGACATATATATGATACCTTTTACATTCTGAGACTGATAAACAAATGTAAGTGCCAACTACTATAGCTACTGTACCTAATTTTTATCAATATGATAATTAGGGTACATGTACTCTAATTCAGTGTGAAAATAACAATCCTGTATTGATGTGTCGTGCACTGTAATCATGTTGACAGCATTGAATTTAATCTTAAGAAACAGATTATTGTATTGAAGTCATTGAATGTGTGAATGTATTTTGCATGACAGGAAGAAATAGCAGTGCACTTAATTGAAATACATCACATAAACATCTTTTAATTTGGTCAAGAAATAAAAAAAAAATATTTCTTTTCTTAAACGAAAGTATGCAAATTGTATGGACATGCACTTACCAGGGAAATATGAAAAAAAACTTTTAACTCTGGTTTTTGTAGATGGCAGTTTTCTACCCAAGGATTTGACATAGGATTTGGGGTTTACCGGCGTACAAAGGAGGAGAGACAGAAAGCTACTGACATGGAGGAGGTCCTCCCCAGTAAACGAGTGAACTCTCACCTGGTGCCAGAGGACGGAAGTGTTACCTGTACCGATGTAGGAATGTGTGAGTATCCTATGAAGAAAAAGAATGTGTAAATATCTGTTACTGATGTAAAAATGTGTAAGCACAATGTACAGAAATTATCCTGTGAAAAAGTAAGAATGTGTATCCTGTATAAATGTAGGAATATGTATTACGTACATGTATCTAGTGAACTGTGAACAAAATATAAAAATATTCTGTGAAGCAGGAATGTGTAAGTATATATAGTTGTATGTAGTCCTTTAACAAGGGGATATGTAATTAAAGAAATATTTAAAAAAGGTAAGGTTGCTGAAAAATTTCAAGTACCACTAGGCAGAATATTATCAAACTTACACAAAGGGGTGGGAATATATTGTATAATTAATTAAAAATTGTTCAGGAAATCACCAATAACTATAATATCCTATCCAAGATGACTTTATAACATATTGAGTGTATGTGAAAACATGTGAAGAAAACTTTTGCAACAAATGGTGACTGTATTAGAGCATCTAGCTGTCCTTAAGAGTCACTGCTTGATTTCAAGGTGTTACCTGATGGTTTTCAAACACTTTTTTAGTTTTGTGTTTCTCACTATTGTTTTTCAGATATTCTTCGATTTGATAATACCTTTAGCTGGACCAGGAGTAAGAGAATTCAATACCTTGTAGAGATTCTAGAGCCAGACACTGAGGACTTCACCAATCCCAACGCCTCTAAGGCCAGCTTCAAAGTCAAACATTAATGTTAGCCGGTGTTAGAATTTTCCTATGAAAAAATGTTGTTATATGCTAATACATTAGGTTATGAGTGGTATGAAAACAGCAGAGTAGTTATTAGATTATATAGATATGTTTAAGTTTATATATTTTATCTTGGTTCATCTTCTTCAGCAGAAAAAGTCATAAAATGGTGCCAAAGATCAATATCTAATTATTTAAAATATGTTTGATGTTTTTAATTTATTGGAAATTGATGATACATGCCATATAAATTATGAAAGGTTTATCTTAACTCTTTAAGGTTTAATTTTTAACCCCTGCTCTAAATTTCATTTTTATTGAATTCCAACATTGATTCGAAGATGTAAAGATATATGTTTTTTCTTAAAAATGCTTTGATAGTCCCATTTATTAATTCAGAGATTAGTTTCTTTATTTTCAATCACAGTCAGTTGACGAATGGTTGTAACATGATCCTCTGCCTTCCGTTTGTGAATTATTTAAGAATTCCTAGTTTATCATACCAATACTTTGATATTTGATATCATTAGCTCTTCTACGACAATGTCTTAAAATCATCAAACTTTGTGTCATTTTGGAGTTGTAGAGTATGATTACCAAAAGTGACTAACTTTTAGAATCTAATTAATAATCTCATGGCTATATCTAAAAATTTAAGATAAATATGTGGCTTTGAATTTTCACACTTTGTCAGATTCATCTTGGGTTCTCAGAGTGTTTTAACTAAAATGTAAGTCATGATGACCTACTTTTTGAATTTCAAGGTTTATATAAATATACAGGGTACTTAGAGGCCTCAAATAGAAGTGATATTTGTTGTAAAATTTATCTGAAGAGCTATTCAAGGCTTTTGGGCCTTTTGTTTTTAGTTGTTATATTCCATAAAAGTGAAGTCTCTAAAAATTAAAAAACAGAAAATGATAAACAAAAACGAAGTATTGGTTAGATAGGCTAAAAATTTGATAAGTTATAATTATCAGAAGGAATTGGGTTTAAATCAATCGTTCCTCTGATGATTTTGCTGTCAATGGTCCCATTTGTAAAATAAATATAAGATACAAAGTGGTTAAAGATTTTCATATGGTTTTTCAAAAAATTGGTTAGGTCTTTCATCTGTCCTTGCTTAAATTCAGCTATTATAAAGAAGTAGAAGAATATTTTATAATAAAATTTATACAATTTTTTTTTTATTAATTTGTTAAGTATCAGTATTTTTAATTGAATTCAAATTAAGGAATAGGAACATAGGTATTTGAAGTAAACTGAGTAGAAAGGTATTGAAATTTCAAATTTGGAAATATCTTTTCATAGTTCACATTTAATATTGTTAATATTGAAAGTCTTTAACCTGCTACATACTATCAGGAAAAGATATTCATTTTGATTAATTCATATAGAATATGATATGTACATGTATTTGTAATATTTTTTATGATTATATTTACCTCTATTGTTGTTGTTTTTTAATTAATAGTTTATTGTTCTGTTGTATATTTTATCTTAAAACCCAAGTGATATATTTACATGACAATGCTCAGTTGTTTTTTTTTTTTATGTTTGAAAATCATTTGCTCTTGAAAAAAAAAGTTGCATTAGTTTTGTTTTGTACATGTAAAAAGCTCTATTATTACCAGATCATTGTTTCTTAGGTAAAAAAAAATGAAAAACACTTCCTTAGCCATCATTTGACACTAAACATTATTTGGTTGTGTACTTTTACACATTTGACCTCTTAGGAACCACAGAGTCAATTTTATGTTTATGATAAAAATTCTTTTTTTTGTAGGTAACTGTTAAATTGAAATTTCACAACCTGGCATCTTACGGTGCATTTTCAAAAATTTCAGTACATCATTAAAGGGATGGGTTGGAGGAGTGTTATTTTCATTAATACGTTATTTTTTTTTATAAACAACTGTGAAATGTTTAAATAATTACAATCTCCAGTCTTGATAAAAATAATATTCATTTTATCAATTATGCTCCAAGCTATACTGCCATTTCTTTTCACTGATAGTTAATTTACCTATAGTGATTCAGTTTTCAAAGACTGGCATATAATTATGGGTGATGTGTTTAAAAGGTTTACATTTTTCTGCTGAAAAGGCCTGATATTTTGTTCCCATTTGTTTTATGGCAGAGTCAATCATATAATGTTTCAGATAACACTATGATGTTACAATGATGCTTCAATACACCCTATTTTCATGATGATATGTAAGATTTTTTAAATTTTGATATTTTAGACTTAATTGTATTATTAATTGTGTTGTTGATTCTGTCAAATGTTTATAGAATTAGTACATAAAGTACATATGTAGTAAAATATAATGTGATGTTTGTCTTATAAATCGATGGATTAATTTAGAATTCTCTTTTACCTATGTGTAGGTTTTCATCATCAACATAACCTGTGAATAAACAATTGTATTTAGTATACACTTTACAAGACAAATTGTTTACAAGTCACTCAGTTTCATTTAAAGTTGTCATTATATGAAAGGAGTAATCTTTAGACTGAATATAAATAGCTTTTTATAACATACATTTGATGATTTTTTTTGGTTTTGTCTTTAAATTGTATTTTTGTTTGTTTGTTCTTCTTAATTTCAGCTCGTCTGAGTTCTGTTCGGAATTTGTCAGTTGCCTTAAACTTTTCAGTGTAAACTTTTTATATAATATCAGTCTTTTTCTTCAACGCCAATGATCCAATTTTGACCAAACTTACCAAAGTATACTTAGTTGAATGGAATTTACAATGATTAATATTGAAGTGTCCTCCTAGTGGGAGACTGGCCAAAAAGAAGACAAAAAAAGAAGACGGTGGGGGTTATTTAATAACTTGAGAACCATTGAGCCAGACAAAGATGAAATTGTGTAAAAACTAACTGGTATTGAATTGATTGAAATGTCAATAAGTGTAGAGAATCAATGTTTCACAGTAAAATAGTTTTACAATCTATCACTAAGTCAAATGCTGACTGACATTTTCGGTCATTATTTACACACTGAATTGTCAACTGAATTTTCCGTCATTTTTCCAATCATGACAAGGAGCATACAGCATGTGTGACTGGTCAGCAGGGGATGCTCACTTCTCCTTGGCACTTGATCCCATCTCTTTTGATTTAGAGGTCCATGTTTGCTCTGCTCCTGATTTGCATCGTTAATTGTGACTTCTAAGCTTGAATACTGTTTGTTATTTCCATATATTTTATTTTACTTCTCGAAAACAACAGGGAATTATGAGAAATAAGATGCATTAATTCTCAGGCACTGAAAACAACATGTTCAAAGCATGGTCCCTGGGATAAGATTGGGCCACAACAAGGTGTCAAATGTTTGGATAGGTATGTAGGGAAAGTATCCAAAATTCTTCAGCTTAAGAACAGCAGGGTCTTTATTTGTAACAAGTGCATGTATAAAGTAAGAGGCAAGAGACTTTCACAATTGAGGGATCCAAGTTTTATATAGACTTGCAGTTACTGCAGCTATTATTAAAATGAAATACACGAAGTTGCATGGGTCATCTGCAAACATTTTTGAAAAAAAATCTGATTCTTTACATATGTAAACCCAAGATAATATTTAAAAAAGTTGCTTGAGTTTCCCACTGACAGTATCTACATCTATAAATTAATTCCTACAACAATCTGTTGATCCTCAAGCTTCAAACACAAGGCCAACAAGTCAGATGAACCCTGGACCCCTACAAACTTATAAAAAAAAACAACCCAGCTTACTAGTACATGCATAGAAGGAAAAAAAACACAAAAATATACAAATGAAACATATGGAGATGACGAACAGCATTCAAGATCAAAAGTCTACAAAATAAAAAAAAAAGGGGGGGGGGGCAGAGCAAACACGGACCTCCAAAACATTAGATGTGGGATCAGGTGCCATGGAGGAGTGAGCATCCCTTGCCGACCGGTCACACCCGCCGTGTGCTCCTTGTCATGATCGGGAAATAACGAGAAAATCCGTCGTCAATTCAGTGTATAAATAATGGACTATTTAAAATTAGAATGAAAAACGTCAGTCAACATTTTACTCAATGATAAATTTTATATTGCTGACAAGCTGAAGGTCATTGTATCGACCATAAAACTTACGAAAATATTACTTTAATTACCTCGTTTTAGAAATTGTTCATTTGTAGAGCATGCTCGTGCATATCGAATCAACAGATACTGGTACATATTAACTCCGTATACAGTTGTAAGGTACATTGCTGTATAAGTAAGGGAAGTTGAACTAACGAATGACATTCCCATACAGTTATATTGTGTCCCTTTCTAATACTGTAATAGACCCTTTGTATTCTTATGAAGCAGAATTTATTTAAAAGGAAAAAATTCTATATATGAAAAAAGTCTTGTTTTAATGTATTCAATGTATAATGAAGGGATTTTGAACGATTTTAAATAATTTTAAACTGGTTAAAAAAATAAAAACACATTGCTAGATAGCGATAAAAGTGAAATGAACCAAATTCACATGACTTATAACATGTAAAGAGACGGTCATGTTGAACATTAAAAGTTTTTTGAAGAATTATCTGCCCTTGATGAAAAAAAAGAAAATTTTTAATTTCTCCAAATTTCCGCGGTTAATAATATATTTTAATTCATAGTTTATTAAAGAGGGAGTTTATGCATATTTTCACCAAGAGATTTGTTTGAAATTCAAATATTAATTTTTACAATATCTGATAAAAACACGCGCTGCCCATAGACTTCAATGTAAAATTCAAGGTGAAATTAACTGGACAATTATCAAAATTTTGTAAATTCTTTGATGTCCACGTTGCGCACGGTGTTGGTACACATTGACGTTACGTCAAAATAACGTTAAAAAGTCATAACGTTGTTATAACGTTTTGAACCTTATACATGCATTTTTTAGATCTGTAAATGAATTTTATTTTTCAAAAGTATAAAAAAAAAAATAAAAGGGCACATAATGTTAAATGTTTGAACCTTCTTTTATGAAATATTTAGATGTTAATTGATAGATCTAAATCTTAATAATAAAATTTTAATTACTGAAATGCCAAAGGCACTCAGTGAATATTCCTCTTTCTATTTTTCTCACTTGTCTGTCTTATAAGGAGAAAATATAGAAGTAGTATTCCCTTTCAACCTACTTCAATATTTTTTTTCAGTTAGGTCATTACAAGTCTTTTATTTCTATATAGCGTCCGCATGCGCTTTGGGTGTATAGAGAAAAAATGAGAGTTTTTATGCCTCCTACGTTTCAAAGGAACTGGTGTTATTTTGAATTTAAAAAAAATAAGTATCAATTTAGTATATTGAGGGGATGAAAAAAAGAGGGATGGAGACGTTTCACCATTGACAATTGAAAATCTGTTTTATCACAAAAATTATAAAATCTTTTTACTATTTTTGGTGAAAGAAGTGGGGGGGGGGGGGGGCTCTTGTAATGCATACTTCGTTTAGAAAGTAATTTTTTTTGGAACGATATCATTTCGGGGTTTTCATAATTTTTTCCTTTGGAACATGTACACATGATAATAAAGTGTAATGAATATAGTTTGTGAAAAACAATCTCCAACAAGCTCCGGGGTTGAATATCGGGGGTGGGATGGCGGGTGGTTCCTGCATGTCCACAAGTACCTGTGAGCTGGTCCTATGGACCTGCATGAAAAAAGCCACGGCGATAATAATTTGACGCTCCCGACGTCATATGTACGCATTGTGTAAAATGACGTTTTTTGTACCTGTGACAAAATGGCTACACTTTTATTGATGCTTGCATTTATTTCATGTAGACCATTACTGTAAAGATTGTGTAATAAGAAAATGCAGCATTAAATGTTCTTTCGAGCTACATACATGATTGCTTTATATCTTACATTAATTTATATATTTTTGATGTGTTACTAAGATACATTTTGTAACAATAGAGTGACTCGTGCGTGCGTAACAAAATGGCTACACTTAAGAAAACCTTCCTAATATTTACGTTGGAAAAGTATTATAAAATGTATCAATTCAATTAATCTAAGAAATATATGTACTAAAAGATTATTCACCAAAATTAATATTTGTCTGGGATTTATGTCTAGTACACATCTCCATTTCGGCTATTGTCTGTGTAAGGAAACGATTTCTTACTGTTAGACATTTTACTTACGCACTGTAGATCCAGTCTAAATTCAAGAAATTGATAGAATGATGTTAAAAACTCAACAATATCTTAAAAGATGCATATATCTGATTGTACCCCCTAAATTTCATTTAATTCAGAGAATTGTAAGTGCAATTTTTCATACCTTTTAGTTGCGCGAACAATAATTGATGTAACGTCGGACAGGGGTATTTCGCCGTAAATGACCAATACTGAGTAACGCCCCATCATAGTTCAAATAATTTTGAATTTTTCAGAAGAAAATTTTAAGAATTATTCGTTACTTTAGATAACATAAATGATTTTATTTTCAATTTTAAGTAAATATGACATCGCGAAACCGCTAATTTCTTTGCGACATAAAGAGTTAGATATTATAGTACCAACACCGTGCGCAACGTCGGATCATTTTTATTGGATAACATCTTCAAAATACTACCATGATTAAAAATATCGAACCATTCAATTTTTAGGTACAAAATATGGTCATTATACATTGAATACCTTAAATTGACCTTCAGTTTAAAATTTAGATATATCTAAGGTGGATAATAATTGATCTTTTTTTTTATTCCCTTGTTTCGAAATGTTTCATATTGAGCTCGAAATTAAAAGACACCAGAGTTTGACATATGTGTATCAATTTGAATGATTACTGTGGAAAGACATTGATGATAATCAACTAAACTTAATAATAATTTTGATAACTTTTGATTTCTATTGTCAACTTCCCTCATTTATGTTGAAAAAAACTAGTATATATACCATTGTCACGTGCATTTGTAGTTTACTAGTATGTCTCCCAATTGATTCGATACGCAAGAGCATACTCTACATATACAAAAAATTTTTAAATAGGCTATCGAAGATAAGTTCATCGTCTGAAGTCTACATTTCGCCAAACTGAGTTCTTTGCCAGTCGATACAACGATTTTGCTGATACAATATTTCTATTTCTAATTTTTCTCTCTGTGATAACTCTTTGAAAGTTAGCGGAGTTAATTTCTTGATAATTCTACCGGAATGTAAATTAGGCAGGTCAATAGGTCAGGAGCTAAGGAGGCCTAATATGCATGCAAATCTCGTGCGCATCTGTCTCTGAGTCTGACGCTAAGGAGGCCACATATGCATGAAAATCTCGTGCGGCTGTCGTTGTGTTTGACGTCAGTGGGCGAGGACTATTGAAATTGGGATGGGAATCCTCGTGTAATATAAATTTATGTCCTCATTTTTAAAGTCTAAATCTACAATTTTATTTCACAATGAAATGAAAATATAAGGAATCACTGCCTAGTTAGTATACACAGGCACCTGACGTTACTTATTTATCTTTTAATAAAAAAAATATACCCCTACCTTATAGGGTAAGGGTATTTTTTTTTTATCAAAAGATAAATAAGTAACGTCAGGTGCCTGTGTTAGTATAGCATGCCAGGGACATCAATTCGCCCGTTATACATAAATTATCCCATGTTTCCCACTATTGTTGATGCCCTGGCATACTATACTAACTAGACAGTGATTCCTTAAATCTATCGTTAGATCGAATGTAGACTGGCCTCTTTTATCTGTTACAAATTAAAAGGTCAATTTGCCAAACTGCATTTGTCTACATGTACATTTTATTTCCCTTTACCCGATTATGACACACGGTGGGTGTGACTATAGTCTACACGGGATATTTACTCCTCCAAAGCACTCTTTCGGGTAAGCTTTATCGATAAATATTTACATTTCCAATGTCATTGTCCGGGATAAAATTACCAATTGTAAATGTAATTGATTTCCTCATGAATGTTTTGGCGCGGTTCCAAAAAAAACCACGTGCAGGGCGGGACAACACCTAGAGAGAAGCAGGCTTGGAGCCCGTGGATTGGCGGAATCAAAGCATGTAAATAAAAGGAATAACTGTCTTATTTTTCGAATTCATGAAGATGATCAGTGGATTGGCTTGTGTGATAATTTTATGCATAAACGCCTTCGGCGTTTATGCAAATTATCACACAAGCCAATCCATTGATCACTTCATGAATTCGAAAAATAAGACAGTTATTCCTTAAGTATCTTTTGTAATGTAATTTTCAGAACTTACTTTTTTCTGTTCAAAATTTTCACTTAAATTGGTACCATGCCAAACAAATTGAAGTAGTGTTTATAAGCGGCACTTATTTTGTCTTGCAAACCACAAGACACATTAAAGGAGTCAGACCAAAATTTTGACTTTTATTACCGGCCGCCAGGAGGCGGTCGGTTATATGATATGAAAGTTTTAAGTCGCCGTGCGTTTCTGCGGAGTTAGCAATTTGAATAAAAAATATTTAACATTCATGTAATAGAATATTAAGAAAGAGTGTCTGAATGTAAATTAAAAACGCATAATAATCATCAAACTAAAATTTTATGAATAATGGGTTAAATGTTTCATCCAATCCTGATTGACAAATTCCTACGTAACTGAAGTGCGGAGAAATAAGCACACATGTTGGGCATAGTCTAAAGCAAGGACCGCGTTATATGATTGCCTAAACACTTTTTCTACTTCAACAGGATTTGTTGTTTATATAATTTAAAATGACGTGTAAATATAAATACACAATGTACTTTTAATACGGAAAATTTTCAAAATCATGACTTAATCTTAATTTATTATCAGACAGAATATTAGGAGATTTTTCTCCAACAGACAAGGATAAAGCGCGTTTTACAACATGCCAAGCCTTTTCCCGCCACATCTCACACCAAAACAAGACAGAGAAGAAATGTAGTGGTGGATCTAGAGGGAGTTGGGGGTTTCAACATCCTCTGAGCGAGCGAGGAGCCCCATATAGTTGTTACGTTTTATTTAATGTTAAACTATCTCTAGTTAGATAAGTTTAAACGTTAGTTTTAATGGTTAAGTGTTAAAACTACTTAAACATCAAACTTCCGCCAGAGTTCGTTAATAGTACCAATTAAGGATATCAGATCCTCAGCCAGGAAGGATAACTCCAAAAATTAATATTTTAATTGAAATGCATCAAAATGAAGCTTGAAAATGAAATTTTTTCATGCAACAATTTTAATTTTATTCATTTTTGTAAGATTGAAGGCTTTTGGAAGTCTTGGAAAAGGTCTTATAAAAGTTGACTTTTATACCCTATAAAAGGGAAAAAAATTAATATAGTTTTAGAGAAATAAGATTTTCTTGAATCCAGCCTTAGATACTTATGCTTATTAGCATGATATGAAATAAAGAGTGATTTGTGGTGTCTTGCAATGATAGCAAAAGCCTTTTACACTATGTATTATAGAACATATGACAGAAATAGAAGACAAAAAATACCAAATAAGTATAAAAATCATAGCAATTTCTCTGAATGCCTGGATATCTATCGTTTTCTAACCTTAAATATATTTGTTGATCAATTTGTAATTAGAAAATGCATTGCTGATATTCCAATTCGCTTTTTCTGCAAAAATATTGGAGATTTGACATTTTTCCCTATATAATATGATTAAGTTTAATTTTTAACTTTAAAGAAATCATGTGGATAAATTTACATAACTTTATGGATTCAGAGATACTTTTATGAGTACTTTTGATAACTTAACTGCTAATTTTATAAACCTGAGGATCGGACTACCTTAAACTTACTGGGTGCGGGGACGCAGAGGGCTAAGAGTAAGTTGCAATGTACATGTATTATGTACTGAAGAAAATCCTGGGATGTCGCATTCAAATGTTTAATGTCACAGGGATAAAATAATTAACAGATAAATATAATTAAGAATTCAGTTTCTACTTTATTATATGAAAGAATTAATTAATTGGTTTGCGGCCGATTTTTGACGCTTGCGTCAATATGTTTCTTGTAAATTTTTGTTATTATGTTCCCCAAACGAAGTTGGGGAACATATTGTTTTTACTCTGTTTCTTATTATTATTATGTTCCCCAAACGAAGTTGGGGAACATATTGTTTTTACTCTGTTTCTTATTATTATTATTTTTCTTCTTCTTCCTGGGTACTTTTTTGTCCGGGAATGATCTTGTAAACTGTTCATCCGATGAAGGTAAAACCTTTTTAGGGTTAGTAGACATGTTATGTAGAATTGCCTAGTCAAGGTCATTTTGCGCGCACGTGCTTGCAAGAGCGTGCGCGTGCAACACGTGAAATGTCCAATATAATAGATACAGCCGTAACTTTTTTATTTTTTGATGAAATGCTTTGAAATTCATAATTTGATTATTTATTAGTAGTATAGACATGATGACATGGTCAAAATAGCAAGATCTCACGCGCATGCACGTGCGCTTTGTTCTGATTGGCTGAAACTAAAGTCTCTATATCTTTCTTGTTTTTCGACGAAATCCTATGAAATTTTGAACATAGCCATGAATTAATATATCCTACAACATGATATTTAGCATTTGTCATAAAATCACGTGCATGCACGTGCGCTGCAATCTGATTGGCTTAAACTTTAAATACCTATAACTCCCTTGGTTTTCAACCAAACAGGATGGGATTTGTAACATAGATAGATATAATGAACTTCTACAACATGATATGGTCGCCATGCACATGCATACACGTGCGTGTACTTGCGCTGTAATCTGATTGGCTGAAACTTTAAACAGCTATAACTGCTTTGGTTTTCAACCAAACGGAGTGGGATTTAGAACATAGAGAGATGTAATGGACGTCTACAAGAAGATATCGACATCATGCTCATGTATGCACGTGCGTGCACGTGAAATGAGTTAAATCGAAAAAATACACTTGAATGAGCGTGTTTTTAAATACTTTTGGATTAACACTTTAATATTTAGTATATTAAAATGTATAGATTGTGTAGACAAGATGATATGGTCATTATGCACATGCATTCACATGCGCACGCGTGCAATGCTAAAATTTGAATGAATTTAGCGTTGTTAAAGTCTCAAATGCATAGATTTTGTCCTATTTAATTAAGCTTACAAGGAATATGGCACCAAAAGGGAGTTGGGGAGCGTTTGGGGAACATCTGTAACGGTCCCCGTTACAATTAGCACTAGTTATTATTATTTTTTTTCTTATTTCTTCTCCGGTACTTTTTTTGTCCGCGAGTGTTCTCAGAAACTGTTCACCCAACTGAGCTAAAACCTTTTTAGGGTTAATAGGTGTGTAGTGTAGGTGTGCGGAACGAAGGTCATTTTGCGCGCATACGCCTGCACGTGCGTGCGCGTGCAACACGTGAAATGACTAATATACTTAATAAAGCCATAACTTTTATATTTTTTAATGAATTGCTTTGAAACTTATTATATAAGGATATATTAGAAGTGTAGATAATATGACACTGTCAAATTAGCACGAATTCACACGCATGCACGTGCGCTTCGCTCTGATTGGCTGAAACAAAAATCTCAATATCTTTTTTGTTTTTTGACGAAATGCTTTGAAATTTAGAACATAGTCATGTATTAAAATATCCTACAACATGATATATAAAAATTTTCATAAAATCACGTGCATGCGCATGCGCGTCAATCTGATTGGCTGAAACTTTAAATGGCTTTATCTCCTTTGTTTTTTGATGAAATGCTTTGAAATTTAAAACATAGTCATGTATTAAAATATCCTACAACATGATATATAAAAATTTTCATGAAATCATGTGCATGCGCATGCGCGTCAATCTGATTGGCTGAAACTTTAAATGGCTTTATCTCCTTTGTTTTTTGATGAAATGCTTTGAAATTTAAATCATAGTCATGTATTAGGATATCCTGCAATATGATATACAAAAAAATTCAAGAAATTACGCGCATGCACGTGTGCTGCAATCTGATTGGCTGAAACTTGAAATGGCTATATCTCCTTTGTTTTTTGACGAAATGTTTTGAAATTTAATACATAGTCATTCATTAGGATGTCCTACAACACAATATAGTAAAAAATCATGAATCCACGGGCATGCACGTGTGCTGCAGTCTGATTGGCTGAAACTTGAAATGGCTATAACTCCCTTGTTTTTCAACCAAACAGGATGGGATTTAGAATATAGATAGATATAAGGGACTCCTACAAGATGGTATGGTCATCATGCACGTGCATGCACGTGCGTGCATTTAGAACGAGTGATATTAAAAATACACTTGAATGAGTGATTTTTAATACTTTTGAACTGAATCCTTTCATATATAGTATATTAAAATATATAGATAGTGTAAAAAGATGATATAGTCATTACGCACCTGCATTCACATGCGCGCGGGTGCAATGCTAAAATTTGAAAATAATTGGTATCCTCCTGGGGAAACGTTGTTAAAGTCGAAAATGCACAGAATTTGTTTTATTTAATGAAGCTTACAGGGAATATGGCACCAAAAGGGAGTTGGGGAGCGTTTGGGGAACATCTGTAACGGTTCCCGTTACAATTAGCACTAGTTTTTCTTCTTCTTCCTGGGTACTTTTTTGTCCGCGAGTGATCTTGTAAACTGTTCACCCGAAGTAGGTAAAACCTTTTTAGGGTTAGTAGACATGTTATGTAGATTTGCGGAATCAAGGTCATTTTGCGCGCACGTGCTTGCAAGAGCGTGCACGTGCAACACGTAAAATGACCAATATAATAGATATGGCCGTAACTTTTCTATTTTTTGATTATATGCTTTGAAACTCATAATATAAATATATAATAGTACTGTACACATGATGACATGATCAAAATAGCAAGATCTCACGCGCATGCACGTGCGCTTCGCTCTGATTGGCTGAAACTAAAGTCTCAATATCTTTCTTGTTTTTTGATGAAATCCTTTGAAATTTTAAACATAGTTATACATTAGGGAGATCTACAGCCTGATATAAAAGAATTATGATAAAAGAATGTGCATGCACGTGTGTTTGCAAGAGCGCGCACGTGCAACACGAGAAATTAAATATAATTGATATAGACGTAACTATTTAAATTTGTGATGAAATGCTTTGAAACTCATAACATAAGGATATATTAGAAGCTTAGACTAGAGGACATGGTCAAAATAGCAAGATCTCACGCGCGTGCACGTGTGCTTTGCACTGATTGGCTGAAACTAAATTCTCAATATCTTTCTTGTTTTTTGACGAAATGCTTTGAAATTTTGAACATAATCATGCATTAGGATATCCTACAATATGATATGAAAAAATTGTCATGAAAACACGCGCATGCACGTGCGCTGCAATCTGATAAGCTTAAACTTTAAATAGCTATAACTCCCTTGTTTTCCAACTAATTGGGATGTGATTTACACCATAGACAGACATAATGGACTCCTACAGGAAGGTTTGGTCATCATGCACATGCATGCACGTGCGTGCACATGCAATGAGTAAAACTAAAAATACACTGGATTTAGCGTATTTTTGAATGCATTTTGATTAAATGTCTTAATATTAGGTACATTAAGAGTGTATTCGATTAAGACAACCCGTGTCGCACTAGTGTTAAATATGCGCATGCTCACTGATTGAACTCGAGTGATCTAAATAAAACATCTCGTGTTGTTTAGTGTTTGTATAAATACGTATGACGGGGAAAACAGTATATTTCCTGTATTTTTGGTCTAATCAGGACAAACAACTGATTAACAAACAATATCAAATAATGAATAGCAGATAATTTTATACAAGACCTCAAAGCTGAATTGATTGTTTAACAAAATGTATTTTTTTTATAGTTATAACATGTATTTTATAGATTATTTATCCTTGCAATATTATTTAACAAGTCAATACCTCCTCTTGTTAAATTAAAAAAAGTAGAATAAGAATGTCTTCACATACATACATGTCAATAGTATTAAGTATAATATTGACGTGCCATTGTGTTTGAAAAGGGGGGGGGGGGGCAAGCCAGAGAAAAAAACCAAACTTCTATTTACTTGGAGGAAGGGGATGTAGGTCCCACTTCCTTCAGTACCAAATGTTATTCATACAAAACGACTAGACCCTTGATTGGCTTTATTGTAACAAATGAGGGAGGCTGTCGGTGGTCTTTCAATGAAGATTTTTTAAACGTAAAGAGATGCTTGGAAAAAGAAGTGTGGGGAGCGCTGTCATCACCTGCTATGTGCTTGTATTCTCTTTCTCCCCCCCCCTCCCCCCCCCGATAAGAATTGGTAAGAAAAGTACCATAGCTGACATTTTTCATTTATATAGTGCAAGTCATAGGATGTGAGAGACAAATACTTTTACAAAAATGTGACGTCGGTTGGAAAGAAAGCTTGAGCTAATGTTTTTTTCATCGTCTTACTTGGCTGTGGATGTTAATTTTGACTTTGTAAAAATAATGTTCAATATTTCAACTAAACGCGTGAAAATGTTCAATAATTATTACGATAGTAATTAAAGGCTGAAAAGGTATTTCTATATACTTATAACATTTATTGTAAACAAAGAAACAGTTGGTTCTGGGGACCCGACCTCCATATTTCTAAGATTTCATTGTACAATGTTAATCATTCTATATCTTTTCAAGAAGAATAAAATTGCAGAATTAATTTGGGTCCTAGGTGTAAGTTCTTTTGTAAAACGGGCCCCCTGATTTTAAAATTGTCTATTCGATTCATATTGATTCACTAAAATTATTTTTTTTTTAGATTTAACAATTGTAACATAGAAATGTTGTGTTAATTACCTTATGAAGTTTAATTACTATTATTAATAATTCAGTTTTAAGATAATTACAGGATCAAATGCGAGAGCAGTTTCAGTTAATCCAGTCAATCTAACTCAAAAACACCCAAACTTCAATCAAATTGCAACAGAAATGATTCCAGTGGAATTTTGTTATTTATAATGTGCCTTTGATTTATCAAAACTCTAGAAAAATATATTTTTTTTTTCGATTACCAAAAAACCCAATATTTGTTCGAGAATGCGAATAAATCTCCTTTTGATCAGACATTCTATTTATGCATAAAAAAGTTTTGCTAGGAATATTATCTTAATATTTTTTGACAGTCATGCAGGAATGCGTCTGCAAACTGAAACCGGTGATTATTTCATTAGTTGCTATGGACCTCTGTTCCCATGGCAACAGAAATGATAAAAATATCAAACCTTTCCAGTTCCTTAGTACGGCTTTGTGCAGGGACAAAAATATATAGCTATAGTAGGAATGAATTAGTATATAGCATTAATTTGTTAGCGAGGACCTAAATTAATTTTTAAAAAGTTATACGGGATAATGTAAGCGCAGACATCCGATATTCTTTTTCCAGGGGGGGGGGGGCATCAAATCTCACAGATGTTAAGTCTCAGAATTTTTTGACAAGCAAAAATAAATAAACAAAACAAACAAGTTATAAGAATTCAAAATTAATAAATAAAAATAAATTTATTACAAGAGATATGCGATTTTATCGGCATACCCCGCGCAGTACTAGTATATCACATTTTTTTTTTGGGGGGGGGGGGGATATGTTTTGTGATTCGGAGGCCTTAAGGCCGGTATTTAGGTGCATATCACAAAGTCCAGAAATTATTTGCGATTTTATTCTTCTTGAAAATAATTTAGAATGCTTAATGGTTAACAATTTTCAAAACAATTAAATTTCAAAAATTTATAATCAACATAAGTTTTTGGTTTTAGTCTATGTCTAAGGGGATCTAGAGGTTAGGCCAATAATTATAGGCTGACAAAAAAACTGGATTAATTTCTTTATTTAAAAAAAAAAGTGTAAAAAAACTGTCAATGATAAAACAACAGTAATTTTAAGAGGTTGACCTAAAAACCAAAAAAAAATAAAAAGGGGGTGTCAAAATTGTATTGCAGACTTTTTTCATTGACGTTGTAAATTTTTAATACAAACACTGACATATTTATGCAGAAACTGTTTTCGCATTCACAATGCGACTTCACTTCCCGCCATTTTTTTACCTGTTACTCCAGGTAAACTGAGGAGTATACTCGCGTAACACGGGTTGATCACCCGTGTCGAAGATAGGTTGTTTTATTTACAACTCTAGTGACTCGTGTAACCCGTGTCGCTTAATCGAATATACCCTAAAGTAATTGATAGTGTAGATAAAATGATATGGTCGTTTTTCATAAGTTTGCACATGCGCTCACGTGCAATGCGAAAATTTGCGATATACTTGGTATACTTAGGGAAAACGTTGTTAATGTCTAAGATGCATAGAGTTTGCCTTATTAGATGAAGCTTAGAGGGAATGAGGCACCAAAAGGAAGTTGGGGAGCGTTTGGGGAACATCTGTAACGGTTCCCGTTACAATCAGCACTAGTTATTATTTTTTTTCAACATAAACATATCAAGTTATATATAGAGCCCATCGGAACAGGAACATATTTAATTTGCTTGTGTTATATTAATCGATTTTATAAGTGCCAGTCAAAAAGGAAAAATTTAGTCATAAACATATGATGTAGTGTCTCCATCTAAAAATTGACGGATGATAATTTATAATGTAATGGTGACCCATGTCCTTGTATAGACCAAACGTGTGGGGAGTGGTTTCCAGACATAAAAGATGAAAAACTAGGATTACAGGTCTTACATAACTAGGCTACAGTTATATATAGTTACGTGTTCACTTGAAGAATTTAAAATATTCATGTGAAGGTTCACTGATTGTATACTAAAATCTTCTTTTATTGACTGTTATTATTCACACTGGGACTTTTCGCTCTGTTAATTTTTTTTAACAGAATATTTTTTTATTGTAGCACGAATGGCTTATCACTGAATGAATGAAAAAAGATTTAGCCGCAGGATTTGTTTCCGGAGACCAATGACCAAAACATTTGTATTAGGTATCATTGTTTAATGACCCTGTCGTCTGCGCCGGAATAATATTGCAGACGACATGTGGAATGCAAATTGACTGGAGGTTACGAAATATATCGGTAAGTCTAAAAGTAATCTAAATAGTTTTTTTCATGTGCCATTTTTTCATATTTTTAACGAATGCAAATCTAGAACACGGGTAAAATCTCTATGTCCAAAACAGACCTGTTCAATATGCATATTTTTCTCTTTTACCGATATATGAAGCTATCAAACCTTTGTTTTAAGATACTAGTAAATCACATTGTTTATTGAAGCACAATAATGAATAAAACGTTGAATTAATTTAGATATTTTAGTCTTCAGGTAAAAATGCGTTTTTTACTCTATTTTAACTTCATTTTTATGCTTTTTGAAAGTCTCTTTTATTTTTTGTGTAACTACTATAGTTGGTATTGTCAGAAAACATTTTTCTACAAAGGACTTGAAGAAATGTGATAATTGATTGAAGAAAAAATTTAGTTGTTCGTGAGACAGCAATTATATCTTAAGCCCCAGGGCCGAGCAGTCCGGTGTTCGTGTATTTTTCTAAGGAAAAAATATGTTCACATTAAATTTATGTTTTTCTTTGCAATTCAAAAATCCCCTCGGATTGTACTTTGCTCAACGCTGTGTAAAATCGAAAGTGTGAGACCTTTTCCATTTTATTTATAAACAAAAGAAATGATCGAAGTAATGCGTTTATTAAAGATTTCACCTTGAAATACAAACTTTTAAGATGCTATTTTACTTACACAAACATTCAAATTTTCATTTTTAAAAATACATTCTCATTTCACTGATGATTCAATAAATTGTTTACAGATTAACAATCTTCAAATCTTATAGGTGAACGTATATTGCCCCAATTCCTAAACGAAAAGGTTTTACATACCAGAGCGGATCAGACGGCGGTCATAGAAAGCAACACTATTTACATTCATGACCACCTATATTTTTAAAAGCCCCGCTATTAACACGTCTGTGGCCAACAGGTGGTTGCCCTATGTTGGGAAGACCTCCTGCGTCTTGTCCATGTCAGAAACTAGAGCATTTTTCTAAAATTGTATAAAGTATCACTTTCGGATGATGTAACACTTCAAAATGTGGTTCAACGTATTTAAAAAGTAGTTCATAGTAAATGTATCTTCTTGAATAGGGGCAAGAGGATCTAGAAGAAATAGCTTCCAGGTATTTGAGCTCTGACCTTGTTTGCCCCCTGGTCCTCATGACCGGGAGTCGACCTAGCACGGGGGTTTAATTGCACTCTCATAAAACCACATCGAAGTTCCTTTTTATTCTGTCATCATAATGGTGCACTAAATTTTACCGACTGTGAAAGGAATATGAAATCAAAAGATACCGCATTTGAACTCTATCCCACACAAAGATGGCTTCTTTCGGTTAAAAGTTGAAGCTGTCTGATCAAGTTATGAGTATATAATGGTTAAAAAGGAATTATTATTTTTTTTAGAAAAAAAAGTTTTTTTCCCTTGCCGATTAGCGTCCGCGTGGGATATTAAGTGACTCAGCATTTTAATTGGACAAGGTTGTAGTTTCCAATACTATCTCACTATCTGCTTAGGATTCACATAACTAGGTAGGCCAAGTATTGTTGCTTTATAGAATATGAATTGCATGATTCTTATATACATCTAGTAAAGGAAACGACCAATAATATTTTTCGGTGTTTTTATTCTTTATTATTAATTTTTTAAAGAAAAGATATATGCAAATAGTTTCAATTCAGGCCCAAGGAATATTTTTTTTCATGTTCCTACACTTTTTTGGAGATATATTTATGCAATGTCGAGTCATTCATGCAGTAGCTCCACTAAAACATATTTATGCCTAACCTTGATAAATACATATCAAACATAAGTCGGAAATTTACTTTTTACGGTATACAGGTACTGACGGCGGACGGCGAAGAGAGGAGTTGAAAATGATCCCAGAATGAGCAGAAAGAAGGTAACATTATCAAAAATACCTTTTTCCTCATTTAGTGATCTTAATAGATTCTTAAAGTCCGTTGATACTTTGATAAGAGAACTAAACTTTAATGGCATTATTGCCTTAATGTCTACTATTTTTTCATATTAAATAAAAAAAAATTAAAAATCCTTTGTGTATACTTTTACCAAGCGAGCTTTGTTTTAACTGTTGTATTTTACCTATAAAATTATTTAAATACATAAGAAGCATAGGCATAAGAGCAAAATTTTACATAAGAATGTAGAGGGCTGAAGAACCTGAATTTCTCTCTGTAAGAATCTGGTGCAGTCTGAAGTTAAGAGTTAGCAATAATATTACAGAAAATGATGATTCATGCCTTTGGTCTGGTTTAAGACTTGTTTTTCCATCTTTCAATTTAAATTTAAACACCTTAAATATAAAATGTAATTCCAGTATTAATATTTTAGTTATAGTTATTAGCTCAAGTGAGCTTTTCTGATCACACATTGTCCGCCGTCCGTCCGTCTGTAAACTTTTCAGATTTTATATTATATATGTGGAAGGATCCTGGGGTAGTGTAGATTCTACATTTTCCAAATAGTGACCCCTGGGGTAGGGTGGGGTCACGCATACGATAGCTTATATATTTTGGAAATCTTGTAAAGAATACATGGCCAAAGTTACTCAGGTGAGTGATGTGGCCCATCGACCTCTTGTTAATTTAGTTATCATTATTTTATGAATATTTATAGATTCCGCAATTCTGATACAGAAAAATGTTTTCTTTTGTCGTTTATTAGGAGAAAAAATTTTAACAACTCGCAGCCCCTCCCCCCGCCAATCGTTTATAGGTTTGATTCTTTCTACAAATTGGTTCATAAATTAACGTTAAAACCATCAAAAACCATAATATCAATGCATAATTTGTTTTATTCAAATTGCAATTCTTATAGTTGTATAGCACTAAATGTGTTAATGTATCACGCAGATGTTTTCCTACCTCATTTACACTTAGTGGAACTTATACATGATTTGTCTTAATCATAAATTTGTATTATTTGTAAGTTTTACATCGATTACATTTCTCTCTCTTTGCCTTTTTATGATTACAAGATGTACATGTAACAACGACTTACAAAAGTAGGAATACGACTCACCTTTTCGTGATAACTAATTTTATTTCGATATTGCGACTCTATTAAGTTCTAGGAAATAGTAACGACTTCATTAGTCCTATTAACGGTTTCTTATCTCGTTATTATGACTTCTTCTTAATAAATTCCGCTTTTTGAGTAGCTGAACCGACTTTCTGAAGTCGTAGAAAAAGAGACTTTTTAAAGCACTATTTCCGATCCCTGAAATCCATAATCACATTGCCCTTTTTATACATTACATGTAATAATGACTTTTGAAAATGTTATTTATATTTTTTTCCATCTAATTATAAATAAAGGTACTTAAAAGTTTTGATGAAACATATGGAGATAACGAACAGTATTCAAATCAAAAGTCCATAAAACAATACAGACCAGGAGCAGAGCAAACACGGACCTCCAAAACATCGGAGGTAGGATCATGTTCTATGGAGGAGTAAGCATCACCTATCGACCGGTCACACCCGCCGTGTGCTCCTTGTCATGATCGGGGAATAACGGGAAATAATTCGTCGTCAATTCAGTGTATAAATAATGGACTAACAATAAGTATGAAAAACGTCAGACGGCATTTGACTCAATGATAAATTGTATTTGCTGATAACGTCATTGCATGGACCATAGAACTTACGAAATAATGAATTTAAACTAGACAGCTGAAATTCTTGTTTCATCAACTTGTTTGTCAATGATTTATCTCGTTTTAGAAATTGTTCATGCGTAGAGCATGCTCTTGTGTATCGAAACAACTAAGGTATATTGCTGCATAAGTAAGGGAAGTTGACGATAGAAAAATTAAAATCATCACATTTATTATCCATTCTTCACTCTGTCTGATCTGAAAAGACTTGTTGTAAATGAATTCTATATATTGTTATTATACATTTAAAAAAAATACACATGTATGAAGATAAAATTTTTATTCATGTGATTTATGGACCAGAAAACCCCTTAATCGATAATGAATGTATACATTAGTGTTCCTTAATACCAGAACTGTTGTCGCGCCACCTTCCAGTGTATCTGATGAAGGCAGTCAGGAGGATAGGTTAACGTGTCAGTGTTTTATATGTATTTTATATGGCGGTCACTATGTCTCAACAGTACTCACTGAGTGGTCAGTTGGTGGCCACGGACACTAAGAAGAATCTGAGTATCGACACAACGCACCTGCCAAACCAGCAAACCAAGGAGGAGATCGCACTAGACAAAGTAAGTAATAGGGGATCAAGAGTGTTTTACTTAATTTGATTTAATCAATTCATACTTTAGTCTCGAGGTAGTAAAGATTGCTATATACACCCTGTATTGCATTTTTAATAGCGGGATTAAAATTTATTTAAAATTTACTTAAAGGTTTTTGTGAAATGGAATTTAATGGTAAAGCAGCATGTTCTCCTAATTAACATTACTATTTTGTATCATTTTGATTTATTATCTAACTTAAATAGTTTTATATCAAGTATCCTGATTTTAGTTTAAGCTGAGAATACAGGACTTGATAAAGCCAGACCATGATGACTTTTACCTACATAAATGGCTCAAAGGTAGGACTCCCGTTTTGTGTTGCAAAAGTAAAGCATATAATTCAATGTCTTGTCTATTTTTTTCTGAAATCCACGTATACTACGTTTATAAATCAGAGATCTATTAATTTACAGCAAGGTGTTATGATGTGGATAAGGCGGAGAAGATGTTCAGAACGGTATGATTGAATTTTGCTGATCAGTACGAATCTATAAAAGTGTATTTCTAATTAAATTAATGGGCTTCATCATCCTAATGCTTTCTTGATGAAATCCTGCAAATTAACAACGCAACAGAAGTTTACTGTTGTCATGGAACCGATGTCCATTTTACAAAAAATATACGGAATGAAATAACACCGAATTCATTTTGGTTAATGCTATATATTCTTTGGTGAAGTAACGTTGATGTTTTTTTTATTTCAGAGTATGGCATTCCGAGAAAAAATGAAAGTTGACACAATTTTAGAGGACTACAAGCAACCAGAGGTTTGAAATGTTCATAGTTTTAAAAAATTAAATTTATTATCAAAAAATGAAATGATTTGGTTTACACCGATTTTTGATGACGTTATACAGTTATGGACTTATAATTTTGATTCCAACATGGCCTTAAAATAGGAAGAAGGCAATGTTCAATCAAATGGTTCAGGCTCATTTTACTGGGAGTACACGTGCTGGTTTCTTTTGATAGGTGCTCTGTAAGTACCTGACGGGAGGGTTAGAACATGTGTTGGATTCTGTTGACAGGTGCTCTGTAAGTACTTGACGGGAGGGTTAGAACATGTGTTGGATTCTGTTGACAGGTGCTCTGTAAGTACCTGACGGGAGGGTTAGAACATGTGTTGGATTCTGTTGACAGGTGCTCTGTAAGTACCTGACGGGAGGGTTAGTACACGTGTTGTTTTCTGTTGACAGGTGCTCTGTAATTACCTGACGGGAGGGTCAGTACACGTGTTGGTTTCTGTTGACAGGTGCTTTGTAAGTACCTGACGGGAGGGTTAGAACATGTGTTGGATTCTGTTGACAGGTGCTCTGTAAGTACCTAACGGGAGGGTTAGTACATGTGTTGGATTCTGTTCACAGGTGCTCTGTAAGTACCTGACGGGAGGGTTAGAACATGTGTTGGTTTCTGTTGACAGGTGCTCTGTAATTACCTGAAGGAGGGTTAGTACACGTGTTGGTTTCTGTTGACAGGTGCTTTGTAAGTACCTGACGGGAGGATTAGAACACGTGTTGGTTTCTTTTGACAGGTGCTCTGTAAGTACTGACGGGAGGGTTAGTACACGTGTTGGTTTCTTTTGACAGGTGCTCTGTAAGTACCTGACGGGAGGTTTAGTACGTGTGTTGGTTTCTGTTGACAGGTGCTCTGTAAGTACCTGACGGGAGGGTTCTGTGGCCATGCCAAGGACGGGTCCCCAGTCCGTGTAGAACCATACGGACGACTAGACATGAAGGGCCTTATGTGTTCTGTGAGAAAATCAGACTTAGAGAAGGCTAAAATACAACAGTGCGAGGGCACTGTCCGTGACTGGCAAGAGGAAAGTAAAAAGGTAAGGGCAATATCTATATCACTAATGATAATTACAGATCACTTCTTATTGACGAGAACCTCACTTTGGCGTTATTACGCGAAAATTTCATTCTTTTCATCTGCAAATTTTGTATGCTTTAAGTCTAGAAACATTTTCTTACATGTAAATGCATTTCCCGAATTTTCGAAAATGTCTTGTTTGTATAAAACTATATAACCGAATAACCAATAACTATCTCGAAGACATAAGGCGTTACAAAAATTAAGCGAAATGGAGTATCTTGGAGGGGTTGTTAAAAAGTGGGTAACGTTGACCTTGTGGTTTGTATTACCTGTGAACACAATATTTCTCACACGAGTAAGCGATACTCTGGAAAAGCCCAACAATTTAAAGTACGAGTATTATAATATATGTGTATAAGGAATAGCTTCAAAAGAAGGTTTATACACAATAATGATAGATGCAGTTTAAATATCGAAAGACATACTTAGATTACTAAAAAATGTGTAACAGTGGAGAAAGTACATGGTTAAATTTTAAAATCTGATTTTTTTACGATATTAACTTGCTATTTATCAGGCATTTGTGTTGTACTTATATTTGAGAAAGTCGTGAAGTATTTCCATATTTATCTCGCACGAAAGTATAAGAGGCTTAGCTCTTTACAGCAACACGTGCTTTTTGCACTTATTTGTTGAAAAAGGCAAAAACTTGATCTTAGATAACATGATATTTTTGCCACGCCTTTGGAACTTAAAGATAAGCTCGACTAAAACCCCTGCTTAATACATATTAGACCATTAAAATACTCCTACAGGTCTCAATACAAAGCACAGCAAACCGATTTTAGGATATTATATATCAGGTCATAAAAATATAGGCGTTGTGCTAGATGTGTAACATCTTAAAAAGTTGCCCGCGTGGATCAGTAGTTAGAGCGTCTGCCAAGTAAGAAGTTGATTCTGACGTTGTTGGTTCGATTCCACTGTGGGACGAAGAGACCATATAAACCAAGGTCCCGTGTCGATGTAGTTTCTGACACCAAAAAGATTTATCACTGCTCAATGACTTTGAGTGCCAAAGGGCACAATTTGCAGCTCTCCACCTGCAAGTGGCGGCGTCTGCATACGACTGAAAAATTCTCGAGAGGGATACAAACAAACATCAATTACTATGCAAGATGAATAAAATTAAAAAAAAAAACCAATTACATGTACATAGTATATATTTACTCACTGAGTTGTGTGACAATCGTACATGTATAGTTGTATAGAAAAATAAACCTATGTATAGAGGAAAAGAAGAGAGAAGGTGACCTTAAACTTTATGGATAAAAATTTTCAAGCTAGTAGAAATGAATAAAAATTTGTGATCTCTTTTTTTTTTTTTTTTTTTGAATATTTGTAAATGGATTTGATCATCTTTCCTACTTAGTAACAAACTGAATCAAATTTAAACAATATTGCACAGATCTGTAATTTAAGTCACATGTTTTAAACTGTTGTTGAATAAAGCGTGGCTACCGGGTGGATGGGTTGACAGTTGTGTTTGACATGGCAGGTGTTGGAACCAGGATGCTTTGGCGACCAGGTAAACATTTAAAAAAAAAAACAACAGTGGTTTCCATTTTCTCTAATTTGAATATTTTCTTTGTTCTCTATATATTCTGAGAACTTTAAAAAAAATTATTTCATTTATTCATTACAAGTAATTATTATTAATGGATTTTTAGATAGTAAGATAGCTTTCTATTGCTGTTAACTAAAGCTTAAAAATTTATCAGAACTATAAAATCTTTTTTTCATCTGCTTTACACCATAAAATGTTAGAAGCTCACTCTCCATTGATGCTTTTTCAAATCATTTTGCATACTAATTTTATTTATTTTTTTTTTTTACTATGTTGCAGGTCTCAAAATGTATCTTCACTTGGTCAAAGTTTTAGAAGACAACTATCCAGAGATGATGCGACGTCTACTCATTATAAATGGTATATTTCAAGGACAAAAATATTTGTTCAAGAGAACATTATTTATTAAAAAAGGACAATCACAATGCTATAATTAATAATCCTTTTAACATTTCAGCTCCCGGAATATTTCCACTTTTATATAAGATAGCCCGTCCTTTGATTAGCGAAGATATGAAGCAGAAAATTCATGTTATTGGGAGTGAGTACAAATAAATGTATTGGTCATTTCTTTATTTTCTTTTACACACATCTTTGTAAGCAGGTTATGTATATAGCCTAAAATGATATTTTTCAAGTATAAAAATATCATTATATATTTGATAAATGCTGTTTTGAACACCATGGCATAACGTATACCTGAAAAACATACATTAGGAACTGTTTTCATAGATAAAGATATTGAAAATAGCTATTGTATTTTTTTCATGACCTAGGATTCTTTAAGAATACGTATTTTAAGGCATATTATTACTAAATATTATAAATCATTCATTCTAAAAATATTTTATGGGTGATAATAAAACGTACGTGTTGAAATTATGCTTTATGTAAGGGATTAGTATCTGTGAAGATACAATGTCGCGCGATATATTAAGAAATTGTTAATAGTGCATGGTTTTATGAAGTAGTTGAGTATTTGGATGCCCTTTGTGGCAAGGAATAAAAAGTGGTATTCAATCATACTGGTAATTTATATGAAAGCTGTTAAGAATTATTGACCACAAGTTTAGGGGATAATAAGAAGTACCTGTTAAGGTTTTTTGACACCCCTGTGTAAGGGATAACAAGAATTGCCGACTCTTCCTATTGTAGGTGATTATAAAGAGTATCTGTTAAGGTACATCGATGCTTCTGATCTTCCGGCGTGTTATGGAGGTACTTTAACGGACCCTGATGGAGATCCAACATGCAAGACCATGGTAGGTTATCTCTTAAACTGTTGCGACATACTTCCTTAAAGAAGCCAAGGTTCAGTCTGACTTTTGCTTCAACTATAGATTGCTCAAGAAAAATTGATGTACATTGAGTATGTTGAGCTTACGTTATGGTCATTATAGGAGTGACTGTTTGATATCGAAATTGAAAACACAGACGTCATTTAACATTTATTTTGATATTACCTCTGCTATACCAAAAGGTAAAGTCTTTGCCTGTAGCAAGAGAAAAAAAAAGATTTGCACTGCTTTTATTTCTATCGAATTAATTGTTTACAGTTCCAAGGAGAAATGCAAATGTTTATTCTCACTTTTAGATCTGTTACGGTGGAGATGTGCCAGAAAAATATTTCTTGCAAACCGCGGACTTTCAAGAACAAATGGAGACTGCTACTGTACCTCGGGGAGATAAGCTTACAATAGATGTTCAAGTGAACCGTCCAGGGAGCATACTAAAGTAAACTTAGCTAAAACAAACAGTTAATCAAGTAAATCACAAAAAAAACCCAGTTACCCAGACCTTATCCTCTTTTTCCAAAAGTTCACAAATTATTAATTTCTACTAATTGAAGTAGCATCAGTTTACCTTGACCAGGCTTCCATTCCTGTCTTGCTTTGAGATAAATTAGATCTTTCGTTTTGAAAGTCAGCAATATCTCTACTTTTACATGTTTTGAAAAAGTACAGGTTAATGCATTTCAATCGACATTCATTCGAAATAAACCACCAAATATTTCAGATGGGAATTTAAGACGGAGAACTACGATATAGGATTTGGGGTTCTCTACCAAACTTCCAATGGTACTGTTCCCGTGGTACCTTCATCACGGGTCAGTAGTCACGTGGTCGCAGAAGATGGAAGTTATATCTGTGATAACATTGGAACTTGTAAGTTTGAGCTTTAAGTATGTCTATGATGATTATCTATTTATACACACTATAACTCAATCAGGATAGTAGCACTTTCTTTGTCTAGATACTGCAGAGTACATTAAAAAATTGTACAAATAATTTTACAGTGTTTAAATACTAAATCCAAATATTATTTTGTATTTCAGATAAATTAGAATTCAGTAGTTCTTCTCGACTGTTTAGCACCATTCTTTATTATAATATTAAAGCTTAGCCGAAAGAAAGAGTAGGTTAATAAAAGTAGCAAAAGCATGTATATATCATAAAGACTATGGAAAGCATGATTGTGTCTGGTCATAGTTCATATATTTGTTGCCCTTATGTACTCGTAGCTTTTCATGATTGATTGATTTTTGCTTGTACTTGCATGATGTTGCACGATTCGGGTTGAATAAACAGAAAAAGAACATTTGAGCGAATGATGTTTGTGTGAATTTTCAGATCTGATCTGATTGATAATCCATAAAGAATAAACACAAAATGATTAGATTACGCTATTTAATAGAATCTCGTATTTCTTTCTTTTGTTAGTCACGTGACTTGTTCATTGTCATATGCACACCACTGCGGATTCTTCACCTACAACTTTTGCACAGGACTTCTGCACAGGCCTGTCAGCTTATTAAACCAAACACTTATCTGTAATAAGTTGACTTCTTTCAAAAAGAATACGGCTTCTTGGTCTTCATTAAGAGCAAATCTTTACTTAACAACCCTCTTTCCAGGCCTAAAGCGCTTGGTTCACTACAAATTTCGATGCTTAAAACAGTTTATTCTTAAACATCCTGTCGCTCAAATAGAAATTATTGGAATGTTTTGATAAATGTTTTTCTCATGGCTTAAATAGGGAAATGCCAATTTCTTGCATTCTCAAATGCTTGGGGTGCTTCCTCCAAATAAATAATGCAATGTTATACAGGTAATTCCAAGCATTTTCCCTCGCTCATTTGAAAATATTCATTTGTCTATTGTTTCAAATAAATACAATTTATCAATTGAAAAGTATAAGAACCACAAAAAATCTTACTGTCCTTATATTTTTATGTTATGTTATGTCTTTTCATATTTTTGTGATAAATGTTCAACTTTGAACTAATTCCGATTTTTTTTTCTGTACTGGTATGTATTACTCTCGATCTTTTATGCTTGCTTTCCAGATACGCTTTGCTTTGACAATTCCTTCAGCTGGACAAGAAATAAGACAATATACTACAATACTGAGGTGCTTTATGCAGATGACACACGTATAACAACTGAAATCAACAGCCTGATAGAACAAGGCGACTGGGAGACGCTCTCACAGAAATTCGAAACTACACATCTATAAATGTTTATGTTATAGCGGATGAAATGATAACCTGCTGGGCACTTGTAAAGTGACAGTTGGAAATTATAAAAAAAAAAAAAAAGCACAAACATCTCTGATTTCCTGTATGCAGAAATTTCCTTATAAAAATAACTTTATGTCCATTTCTGGACACTTGCCAAAAACATTGTTGCAATACAACAAACTGTTTTTATTTGATGGAAAATACTTCATTTCAATAAGTCGTAGTTTGTGTAATATCTTACTGACCATGTCAGAATGTCTTCATTCATACAAATGAATGAATTTCTTAAATTGAATTTATTGAATCAAGCATCCAATTCAAATACCGCAAAACTTTTGCCAGTTATATTAAGGAGCTCTTTATGGGGATATTCGATTTCGATTGCTCATATTAAGCAAAGTCCATTAGAGATCCATCTTTTAATTTAGTTCATTATATTGAATGTACAAACTAGTATATGAAAATATAAAATGTTATACAATAACAAAAAAGTTCTTACATATTTTCCTTTTTGTTTTGTAAATGCTGTTAAGTTGTCCTTCAAATTGTATTGTTGTTTGATAAACCATGTTGTCGCTATTTATATTGTAAACTGTGTTTTTGTAAACCGTAGTTGAAATTAAATTTCATTTAGCATACATCGAATATTATTTACTAAGTATATCATTCGATTTTTATTCGTATTTGTATTTATATGACGTTTTGATGACACTAACATGTATATCATGGTTTCTTTTAAAACTTTTTACTGTATTTTAATATTACAATATCGCATACCAATAAGTTGTTTTTCAAATTTCATTAGGTGCTTAACACATTATTTTCTTGAGTAATGTCTTAAATGCCCAGTGTATTTGAAAACAATTTAAGATAAAACGTTATATTTTTTTTACAAAGATTCTTAATGATGTTCATTGAGAATATTCTCTGATTTCTTAAATAAAACAAAAGAACACGCATGTTGTTACATTGATTATTTGATTAAGTTTTGTTTACATGACCCTTCCTGTATCATGACATCATCAAGAGCAGCAGAACTTCCGTATCCGGTACCCATTGTATAACGAAAAATTATCTAAAAAGTAAAATTATAAAGTTACATCGGAAATAAAAAAAGTAAAACTAATGTAAATCACTTTACATTACATGATTATGCAAGATCACCAGACTGCAAAAACTGCATTCTTGCGCCTATTGGTATTGCTTAATACTATAAAGAAAAAGTTCTATATCTGAAAACTTTGTTCTGCACACTATATACTTGAAAACTTTTTGCAAAATGTAGGTGTCTCAAAAATATTGTTGATCTACATTATTACATCAGTTATTCAAAGGCCATACCTGAAAATGGTTCTCTGGATATATATTGACCATTGTTCTTTCCCAGTCACCATATGGATTTGAGGATAAAGTAAGTGGGTTAGATAGAAGCCCTGATGTTATATCTTTGACATAAACTTTAAGGGTGGAATCGTCACTACCGTAGACGGAGTAGGAAAACCCCAAACAATACCCTCTCCCAGACCGTGTGTTGTAAGTTTTAGAAATTATGTCGGCATAGTCATCAACAGAGCCCTGACGTAACGATTCCGTGTAAAGAAAGCTTCCTATATAGAAATCAAAGTATTGAAAGAACTGAAAGTCGGGTTTTAATTGCTCGAGTATATTGTCTGATCCGAAATTAGTACATATTTTTTTTCTTTTGGTCATTGATTTTTAACGGGTAGAGAATTATCATGATTTAAAACAACATCCCATATACCAGTAATTAAAATTAACCAGACCTAAAGATTTGTCATGATTTTAGAATTTAATAAATAATATTTCCAAGAAATTCTCGCATATTTTCTATTCGACAAGCATTTTTTCTCGTAATTTAAAAATTCAGTCTTGTAATAGTTAAACTAATGCACATGTGTATTTTATAGACATTCTTTTAGGTATAAACAAACAGTACTTTTATCGCCAACTACATGTAAAAACACTGAAACATGTACATTTTCAAGCGAATTTACGCATGTTAATTCTTAAAATTCCAATTCATTATACTATTAAGGACATACGAAACGTGCCTTATATGTACCTACTGATAACTTTTCAAGATATTCCTAATTTAAGATTATAGTGCCATCAGATGTTCATAGACAAAAATTCAGCATGCATTACCGGGGTTTTTTGGAAGATATCAAATTATGAAAATTTTTGTATTATTCAAAGAAAAATATACAAAAATTACAGAACACAAATTCCAGATTTTTTTCCCATCAAATTTGTTTTAGAAGAGGTGTATAAATCCATATATAGACATTGAAAGTATTGTACACAGGTCCTTCATTTAGTGGAGCTCTTCAACTCCAGGGAAAAATCCAATAAAGTTCAAACTACATGTACGCTGCGTATGACCTTAATTTGCTAAAAATAATGAAAAAATTAACATATATACGACGTCAGGAATTGCTACTCAACGTTGTAACGTCAAAATGACGTCAATATGAATTGTTTACGTGCAGTGTTTGAATATGTTTTTAAAGAATAATTGATCCCATTGAAGTAATTATTAATAGTAATTTGTTGAAAGAACCTTGGGTAAATGTACTTTTTTCAATAAAGCAGATAATCAAGACAAATTACACTGTATTTTACATTTTCTATCATTATTTTCTCTCTTGCATTTGAAAAGAATATTCTGCAATTGCATGGAATCAAAATTATAACTACATTTGTATGCGATATTCGTTTCATGGTGGTCATATTTAAAAAATCAACAGAAAAGGCAATCTAAGGATACAGAGAGGATACAGAGAGGTGATAATCAAAGATTAACGTGTTAAGTATGAAGGATACAACAATACGTTAAACAAATTAATAGGAAATGCACATTGACGTATGTCCCAAATCGTGCATTCTAAGAACGTCAGACGTCATTTTAAGCAGCTGGGGACATTTCCGCAAGACATTTCGATTCTTTAGTAATTTCCTTATTAACCGATAAGATCTGATGAAACCTTTATGTATCAAAAGTAATTTCTCAGTACTTTCCACTGACAAAAATTTTAATAAGTATTGCCTCTTGAATTCGGAATAAATCAATAAGCTATTTACTAATATATATTTGACATGACGTCATTTACACAGGGGGACATGTTTGCAAGACACGGATGATGTTTGATTAAATACCTTAGCACCTGAAAAATTTTCATTATCTTTTTGGAACAGGTTGTTGTTTAAAAGTACTCATTGTATGTCAATTCAAATTTGTAAATTTTACCGACAAAATTTTCTTTTTTCCACATGGAAAATGCGTTACACTAATTTTTCATTGAATGGGACATCTTAAAGGACTTTCTTTCAAAGAATGTGGGTATCTATTCTCTTAACAGAGGTTGACATCAAACATATTCTGTCTAAATATGATACAGGAGAACGATCATGTGAAGTATCAAGGAAATCCGAGAAGGTTTTTCAATTTTTTTCTAGAATAAACTCTGTTGAAGGTGTTTTTCTGTTACAACGGGACAAGAAGAAAATTGACGTTATTCCGGAATATAGAAGTCATTGTGTACATACATTGTAATAATACTTCTTTTCATTACAATATTATTGGTGAGAAAAAACCCTTTATTTTCATATAAAACACTACTTGTTTATTATCAAGACTCTACTACTAATGTAAGATGAAAACGGATTACGCGTTTTATTTCCTATTAGTAGCAATTCCTGACGTTACGTCATAACCACTAACATAACATCGACGAAAACGATATGAAACATGAAACACTTCAACAATTTCAACATTTCGAAAAACCCGCGCTATTGAATATAGTTCGCTTACAATATATATGCATTCAGCAGCGTATGTGCACTAATTGTTATATCACGATTATCCCAATAAAGCAAATATCTAATTTCTCTTTCAGTTTAATTCTCAAGCAAAAATATTGATCATTAACTTTTCCAATGATTGTGATGTTAAAAATATTATTTTGAATATCGTCTCGCAATAGAACTGTTTTGTTTATCGGAAGCGTCTGCTTGGACGCTGTTTGTTTTTTTGTTTACTGTGTTATTTATAGTAAGACAGTCGATCATGATGCCTATAGCCAGGACTTTGCTTTCAGCAAAGCCAGGTGTAACGACGAAAAGTGACCCCCGTAGAATATTGACCGGGGGTCATTTTTCTACGTAGAAATTTGAGCCCCTGGTCAATATTCTACGTAGAAAAATGACCCACTTTTCTGTAGAAATTGTGGCCTTGGGGTCGTTTTTCTCCGTGTGCATTGTTGAAAAATGACCCCGTAGAATAATGACCCCTTGTCATTTTTTGATGCAAAAACATTCGTTTTAGTAGGAATTTTCCTGTTAGTCGAATGAATATGGGTAATATCAAGCAGCCTAATGCTTTGAAGTGTTAATTTCTGAAAGCTTTTAAGCTTAAATAACGAAATTAAAGCTATATAATACCTTAAATTGATAATACAGACTGTTTTTCCCCATTAAAGAAAAACTGTTCTACGGCTATTAGAGCAATGATAGAGCATTCATAGAATCGTTTATTACATTTTATACAGTAATTTCCACAGTTGTCATTTTACACCCATTCTCAATATAAGGGCACAAATGCCTCTCTGATTTTTTAAAAAATAAAGTTTAAGATAACAATTTTTCTATCAATTACCTTTGAAAGAAAGTATCTGAAGATTTTGTTTCCAGGTTTTTTTTCATCAAATATTAATACATGGAATAATGACAAGACGGTAAAGTAGAGGGTGATTTTATTCAGAAATGTAGCTTGAAATGTACGTTACTCTTTCTTCAATGTCCAAAAAGATATGTCAAAAAAATGTAGTCATTAAAATCACAACTGGAATATCTCATCTTAACACCAGCACATCCTATCAACTCTGTCAGCAACATATTTTCTCGGCATACGAACGTGCGTTTGATTTTTCCTTTCAAAAAACATAGGTTACTTTTTGATCCAGATGTATAAAAACATTTTTTTAAATATATGCTTTTAATTCTTCTCTCTGTTTTGTTTAGAGCGATCAGTTTGGAATCTTGTCATTTTCTATAGATAGTGGAACTTGACATGTACATGTAGTAAAATTCTATTTTGTAGTTACTGTCTTTTTTAACATATATCCATGCCGATTTAGACAACTACGTAAATGTAACGTATATTTCAAGATATATTTCTGTTTAATAAAAAGCTTAAAATTCATCTAAAAATTCATCGTTTTGTTTCAGTTTATTCCAACAAGGATTCTCTATGTAATCACATTGTGTTATATGTCACAATCACCACTATAAAGACACGATTGCCTCAGAATATGAGTAGGTAACGTACATTTCAAGCTTGTAATAATATGTAAATTAGTAATAAGAAAATATTGAAAAAAAGCAATTATTGACATTTATCATTTCAATGAAGCGTTTTAACGCAGTAATATAAGAAATCATAATGTAACAAACGTGGTTATTTGTCATCAAATACATGAATGTCACGTCACTTCGGTAACGTTCATTTCACATATTATTGGGGAGCCCCCTCCACCTCAGTTCATTACCATTCTTTTGTGCTGTTTCGCTGAAATTGACACCGGTCGTAGCCTAGTTACTTCTACCTGTGTGCAAGGGTACAGACAAAAAAAAAATAAAGAGTCAGACGTATTTTGCTATGATCTAAAAATGCTTGTGTTTGGCCATTGAAACTTAACATAAATCTAGTCCGAATATATCCATCGACAGTCTTGTTAACAATTTCATTTAGTATGTTGCAACGTACTTTTCAGCAGTTCTGGAAAAATATAACCCAAAATGCAATGATTCAAACAAAACTGAGTATTGTGTGCCTTTCAGTGTTTGAAATGTACG